GACTCAACCACGTTAATGGCGTTTTTTGGTTTTATTATTATTGTGTCCTTATTAGAGATGGGGGGGGTCTGTAGTCCCTGGAGATAATGCATTGGTCAGAGGCCGAAGTCTCCGTCCCCATTAGTGGGGCAGAGGGTCCAGTGCACTGTGGGAATCTATTGTTTACCCTCTATTCTTCATTAATAATCCTCCGTCACTCCCTTTCTCTCAGGTCTCTCCTCTCCACTTTGCACACAACCTTCCTTTTCTTCTCTGCACCGCTGACCCCGCTCCCTTTCTCTCTCCTTCTTAGTCATTCCTGCTTTTTGTTTTCCTTTGCAACACTCCTCTTTCAAGTCTTCATCCTTCCATTTCCAGCCCCTTTTCTCTTCTCTGCAGTGCCCTTTTGGACAATGGAGGAATCCCCTGGCTGGGCTGCAGGGAGGAGGAGGAGGGGGTTTGGGGGCAACTAGAGCTGGCCTGTGACTGACAGCTCTGTGTGGGGCTGGCTGCTCGCCCTTTGTCCCTCTGCCAGGGAAAATGGAGGGAACCCAGAGATGTGGGCAGGAGGGAGGGGAAGAGGACCAGTTAGGGTCTCATTCATGTGTAAGAGTTTTGGGAACCTGTTGGTTTTCAAACTGGTGTTCAGGGGGAGGAGCGAGGGCTTCGGCCAATCGGCAGAGCAGCATCAGTCCATGTTACTGCATTGGCCTTGAAATGACTGAGCATGAAATCTTTGCTGGTGCTTTCGCTTTTAGCTTCACGTGACTCTGAGCCGAAGACATGAAGTTTAGTGAGAAGACGGAGAGATAACTACCCAGAGTCTGTGCTCCTTCTTGTCCTGAGTTTATTCCACAACAATAACTGCAGCTATCTATAGAAACCAGTGAGCAGTAATGAGGCTCGCCATTCCTGTGGTCAACCAAGTTACTCAGTCAACCAAATCCTCTCCGCTTTTTATTTCCCCGGACACTGAAAGAGTCCAGGCCAGCACAAAAGCATGTGCTCTCCCCTCCCCGCTCTTTGAGCCCCTCACCCTGGTAGTGTGCACTCACAGTGTGTGTAGTGCATTGTGCAGGAATTGATATTTGCAAGAGTGGGGACATGTGGACGGGGCAGATTTGGCACAGGATTAAGAGGCTGGAGAATGTGCGAGTCTGGCTCGCACGCCTCCTTTCCTCACTAAGTGTGAGAGTAAAACAGAAAAATTAGGGTATTTAGTGACGGTGGATTGGCTTTTGTTACTTTTAGTGAATATTTGGAATAAAGACCTGTAGGAGAGCAGAGACTTACAAGTTGTTTCTGCCCCTTTTTGTTTTTGTTCCTCTAATTCAAAGATAGTTTGGCCTAGTCTTTGCCCAAAATATACCAGTAGTTCTTTGAACAATGAACCAGTCCTTAGGCTAATGCACTAGGGCAAACATGGAGGGTCCGGGGTCTCTCTATCTACAGACTCCTCGGTGTGTGTGTGTGTGTGTGTTTGTGTTTGCTTGCAGGGCAGGAGGAGTTTGCTTTGTCTATAGTCTGATTGCATAATTGGGGGGAAACCGTGAGCTAAATGAAGTCACTTGACTGGAACACTGTAGCCTGTGTGAGCTCTGGTGGGACTCGTATACACAACATACAGTTTACTCACATGCGTCACACACACACAGCTTCTTGGGTGTTTATAGTTACGTTTTACTTAGTTTCTCTGTAATGATGCGAGGTCTACAAACATTGCACTCTCTCTTCTAGAGCACATAAACACACCCGTAAACACTCTTATACAAACCTCTGCTAATACACACAAATATGCACGTTAACAAACTGCTCTTTCCCCTTAGCACGCACACACTCTGCTGCGCCGTATACTGTGGCGTGTGTGTGTGTGTGCTGCCTCATGGACAGACAGCCCAGCATCCTCTCTCCTATGACTTGATGCCAGCAGCAAAGTGCACAAGCACACGCATCCAATCGCACATTAACACTGTCTGAGTGGATCGTAAACCAAGCAGAGCAACGCAGAGGAGGCAAAGCAGAGCGATGCTGCTCAACGCGGCTGCTGAAGTCTGTCTTTTGCCGTGTCTTTCGTCACACGCACACCGCTCTCAGTCACCGGCGGCTCATGGGCAATGGTCGCTGTATAATAACGGGGGACGTCTCGAAGAAGTACACACGGCCACAGAACTCATTTCACACACGTAAAACCAGAAGCATCAACCACCTTCGCCTCTTTTCTCTGGATTCCAAGCAGTGACTCCAACTTTAAGGTCACCATAACATGCACAGTTTGATCTTTTGGTTGGTCAAGCTGTTTCCTTCTCGTCAATAGTTACAAGATGTTTAATTTTAATTTCTAGTTCTGATGCTTTCTTTCCTTTGATTGTTTAGTTGCAAACCGAAACATGTTTTTAAATGTGAGTTTTAGTGCTTTGATGTGTTGGTGTTCTGTGTCTCAGTGTGAGTAGTCTTGAGAGCCCACACTGCCCTCTGCTGACATGGCCGCCATTTATCTCCCTGTGTTCTCACTGCTCTCGTTCCCCCATACTTTACCCTCCCGGCCACAGCTTCACTCCCTGACACACACACACAACCTTGTAAAAAAATGCCTGAGTCACTGAGCAGACCGTTGTAGCACACTAATACGATGATGAGACGATGGCGCTACACTAAATTCCACTGCACTCACGCGTTCCAATTGACCCGGCGACCCGTACAGCGCTGCTGGTTGGCCATTGTTTATTTTAAAAGTACTTCATTCAGTGGGAAACGGAGGGGGACGTCAAATTAACTTTCCATTGATGGAGTTGATGGAATGGATTTGTTAACCATTGTCAAAGTAATGGGATGTATCAAAGAACACATTTACATCTTATGCCGGTAGTCATTCAGCAGTGTACGGTTTCTCAGAAACATACTAAAGAAAATCTTCTTACTGGAGGCCGCAGTAGAGCTGGTTGGATAATCGTGTACAGTCTCACATTTGTTTCCTAGATCGTGTCTGCGAGCAGTCAGTCAATGGCCATCTTTGTGGGTGTCTCGCTGTCCCCCATCACTCTGGACGCGGTCAGGAGAGGACAACACTGCCCTTATGTGAAAGCCTTTGTTATGTTTGTTTCCAGTTATTCAGCTTTAACCCGGATGAAAGAAGTGATGTTGTATTTTAGCAGCAAAATTATTTCTCATATTAAGAGTTTGGCCTAACATGTTTTTCAGTTTTCGGGTGTGTTTTTCTGCGCACTCTTTCCCCGAGAAGCTTTCGGTGTCACCTGTTGGTCCAGCACGTTGGCCCCACCCTCCTGGGGGCCCGTTCCCATCCGGGCTCGGCCCGTGTCACGTGGTTGTCCTCAGCTCCTCTTTCCTGTTCCTGTCATCTGATACCTACCCAGTGAGCCAGCACCCGCCTGGTCTCTCCTTGACTTTCCCCCACCCCTCCCTCTTTTGACTCTCCTTTAGGGGTTTTACTATGAACTGCCAGTGAATGTTGGGAAATGTTTATAATTGGGAAGCTAATGACAAGGTCTGTCATGCCTTCCAGTAAACTGTTCCTGGGAAAGAAACCCTGGTGCTGTAACCGCCTCACTATCCAAACACAACACACATAACTAGTAACAGGCAGGATACGTCAGTCATCGAGAAACAGATCGGAGCAGAATGGCAGCATTGTTCTTTGTCGGCATGAATGTAATGTAATCTGCCATTGTGTTGCATTCAATACGTGTGTGTTTTCACACTTCTGTCAAGCAGCAACCTGACAATACACTTTAAAGAAGGTTTCGTCTTATCTGATTCACCACATGTTTATGCAACACTTAGAAACAAGATCGTAACTGTGCTACATTTCCAAAGGTTAATTCCCTGTGACTAAGGCAGTTGGGAATCTTCTGGATTTTTCAATTTATCATATTAATCTCTGGTAACAGACGCAGAAGGGTCGTTTTCAACAGAGGTCCTTGCTAAAAAGACCTCTTTAATTTGAATTACGGTTGGGCTCCAAGCTCGCAGACCTCTGTGCACCCTATGTTCAGAAAATAGCCCTGAATAATGAGTCTGTGCGAATTCCCGCCCCAGAAAGGCCTGGTCGGCATACTTTCTCAAGAGTCCTCCTCCGTCGCGGCGTCTGACGAGTCGACTGACAGTGGGTCCCTCTGTGGCCGCAGAACCAGAGACTGATTGAAGGGTTGATCACTGCATAGTTTGGCCCGTTACTCCAGCCCGTCTTGTCTGTCCATCTTGGCGGCAGATGACACACACACACACACACACACACACACACACACACACACACACACACACACACGGCTGGCGGAGGAATGTTTCTGAGCGCTGTCCTGTCCAACAAGCAGGCTCTTGTGAAAGCACTTGGCATGGCCACAGCACTCTCCTCAGCCCTCCTATCGAAAGCCACTTTGTCTGGTTAGCGTTGCCATGGTGAGATGGAGTTTTTGAGGAATATGATAATGGAATGTTCTTTAAAACCGGTCCAGGTCCAATATACAGGATGCTTTGTGTTGACCTTCACAGTTCTCATTGGGCAGACAGAGGTTTATAAAACATGGGAGACACTAATAACAATTGATTTAATTTAATATATTAAGTTTAAGACACACTCTTAAATACTTTACCGATACACTTCTGTATGCCCATTTTATCCATAAGTGATAATTAATTGTGAAACCGTTAATTCATTGAGTATTGAGTATTTGGGTTATCGTTTCAATCTTTAAGCCTTCCTTCAAGCTTGGTTTCTCAAATGTAAGAGCTGCTGTCTTACAGTGTCTTACATTTAATATTTTGGGCGTTTCAGGCCGTCAGTCTGCAAAAAAGGCAATTCGGATATTCCACTTGGGGCTCAGAGAGCATGAACTTGAAATTATAATTTGTGTCTCTACCGCTGCTGTATTTGTTTCTATTTTATTTGTATTAGGTTTTCTGGACTTGATAGCATAACAAACAATGTGCTTTTAAACATTGCTGCTTGATGCTATAACTATTTTTTTGATCCGTTTCAATTGACCCAATGTGTTGTTTCTCCGCAGCCTTTCTTCAGACTACTGAACCTACGGAAGCTCGGCCTGAGTGACAATGAGATCCAGAGACTCCCCCCCGAGGTGGCCAACTTCATGCAGCTGGTGGAGCTGGACATCTCCAGAAATGGTACGCAAATACAATCACAAGATCACATCGTCCTCTGCTTGTGGATTCCGCTGTGTGGTGTGAAGCAGAAGCATTATAGACTTATCTGTTGGAGAAACAAAATACAAGCAGCAGCCATTAGATACAAATTAGCGTCACAGCAGACATTTATATATGACTGCATGCCCTCTTAAAAATCCCTGTGAGACAATACGATGAATATCTTTCTTTAAATAAATCAAAAAGATATTCATCACCGTGATGCAGCCAGAACTATTATTTAATACACGTTAGAGACTTTCAAACTTTCGGCTGTAGCACACACAGACACCTCTGCCTCTCTGTGTCCTTGCATGCTGCACACAAACACACTCATACTCGCTGGCAGGAAGGGCATACATGGTATCTGAGAGACATCTGCTCCGCTACGCACCGAGTGCTGTGGAAGCAATGCGCAGCGGCCTATGAGGGCCTTTCTCATCTGCCTGCTCCTGCTGCAGAAAGACTCTGAGCCAGATAAGCGCCATAGGCCGCTCGGCTCGGTAGGGCTTTCTGCACCTGCAGGATCCAGAGGAAGAAGTGCTTTACCTGGTCAGTCTAGGAGTTTGGATGTTCATCTTTGTACAGCCCTGGAGCATTGGGGAAGCTCTTATTTGAGCTCAAGCCCATTTGCTACTATGAAATATATCATCAAAAGAGAATACAATTATGGCTTTTATGATTTATGCATCAGTTTGCAGAGTTCTAATCGCAAATAACCCCCCCCCCCCTCCTGCTCTGAATTTGTGCGTCGATGGTGCTGATGTCTCCCTCCCTGTCTCCCTCCAACACCTCCTTTTTCCTCCTGCAGACATTCCTGAGATCCCGGAGAGCATTAAGTTCTGCAAGGCTTTGGAGATCGCAGACTTCAGTGGAAACCCGCTGTCCAAGTAAGTCAGTGGGAACAGCCATCACTCTGAGAATGTCGCGCAGATGCAAACATGAGTTGCAACAAAGCATGACAGGTTTTACCAAGTTTGTGTGTTTGACTCCACGGTATGCACTCTATGCTGATTTGACGCCGCTATTCTTGAAATCCGTCCGTTGCTAAGAAACGGTTATCCACAGTATGCAAACAAATGTCTGGTGGAGACATTTCTTTTGTGAGACAATGTTCTCTCCGCCCAAACAAAGCTGTATGAAACAGTTTCAGGTAGATTCCTGCATGAACCCTCTGCTACACTGCTCTCTTATACACACTGCAACAACTACATTCGGGATGTCAAAGTTGCTATTTCACCTTTTTAACTTCCTCAAATGGAAAGGAAGTGGAACTGCTGGGTGAAGCTTTGATCCTGAATACTGGCTGATAAGTTGTCTCTGTACTGTGTCGCTGTACGACAAAACCCTAAGAGTCTGTCTCCACTTTTCCCCCTCCTGTCTTGCTGCTTCAGATTGCCGGATGGTTTCACTCAACTCCGAGCGCTGGCTCACCTGGCACTCAACGACGTGTCGTTGCAGACGTTGCCCAACGACATTGGAAAGTATGTACATAAGCATGCAACGTCTCCATGATGAAAACTGTTAATGACGTTTATTTCGCAACCCTGCTCTCAAATAATTAATAATACCAAATTGTAAACCTCTAGCACGATTTTCACGAATTTTCTGATTAGTTGACTCATACATAAAACGAAGAAATCAACAATTTGACAATGAAAAAAGCGTTATTTGCAACCATGACCCTCCCCTCAGTCAGATCCTCGACACATTCGGGTCAGAGGAGGTTTTCTGTGTGTGCGCGCGATTGATTGTGCCGTCTGGGCTCTTGGCCACTGCTGCACTCCGACAGATGGAGGAGCCCCTCTCCATGCCAGGCAGCCCGGTCGAACAGACCTGCCATCTGACTAACCAACGTACCTCTCCCCTCTCTTACCCTCCCCGACTCTCCCCTTATGCCACCTGCCCACTCTCGCCCCTCGTTCTCTTTTACTTGCCTCTTTTTTTACCGCCACTCCCTTCTTTTTACAGCCTGGCCAACCTGGTAACGTTGGAGCTCAGGGAGAACCTGCTGAAGTCTCTGCCAACGTAAGTGCCATCTCCCTTCAGCCGTCAAGCACAATGAAAGCCCGGCGACAATACAAGGGGAAGATAATCTCACAATGCACGACGATTTGTGACTTTTTATTAATGTGCACTTTGTAGTCCTTTAGAACTTCTCTCCCCTAGGCATTCAGTTGTTTTCAGAAATATATTTATTGTTGTGTGCAAGCACACGACAAGTCACCTGTCACTACAGGTGACAGGTGTGCAGGTTTAAAGACATTCTTCGCATATGTCGGTGCATGCGTATGAGGAGTGTGTTGGAATAGTTTGCAATGACGTGCTCTTTGTTCTTTCCGGGCACATTACGTGTGACTTAATATGTGCTTGTATTCAGGTCGCTCTCTTTTCTGGTGAAACTGGAACAGCTGGACCTGGGCAGCAATGAACTGGAAGTTTTGGTAATTCTCCATTCATTCCCTTTTCACGCATGCCAGCAATGAGCCACCGCTTTGCTGACATTTTGCTTCACTCAATTTATCACTTGTACATCATATAGATTATAGACTGACCCTGGAAAATGTTGATATGGATGACCGATCCCTTTGTGTGAACTGTGGGCACATGATTCCTGTTTGCCGTGTGTTGAAATGGAGCATATTCTCGAACTGTTGCATGTGTTGATTCAAGCATGCGGTTCATGACTTTTTAACAGAAATAAGCAAACGTGCCAATGTTCTCCCTCCCATCCTCCCCTCTGCTTGGTCCTATCTCCAGCCGGACACCCTCGGTGCTCTCCCCAACCTGAGGGAGCTGTGGCTGGACCGTAACCATTTGTCCTCATTACCCCCAGTAAGTGCAGTTCAATACAAATGTTTTTTGTAGATGGCTTTTGAAAGAACTGCACTTTTTCTCTTTGTTCATTTTTATGAAGTTACACATATTCACAATTTACTCCCACTGGCTGATTGCTTCGCCTCGGTTGTGCTGTGAAGGGTGAAGGTTGATGGTTGTCTTGCGCCTCCGTGACTCACTGCAGGTGGTTTTTATCGTTTGTTTGTAGGAGCTGGGGAACCTTCGGAGACTGGTGTGTCTGGATGTGTCTGAGAATCGCCTGGAGGAGCTTCCCTCAGAGCTTAACGGCCTCCTGGCTCTCACCGACCTGCTGCTCACACAGAACCTGCTGGAGGTCGTGCCTGACAGCATAGGTGAAATAACACATGAGGGGAAGATTCTCAGCATTGAGGTTTAACTCGTTTAGGGGCATCCTCCCAGTTCATCAGAATAAAGGAAACCTTTATTACCAAAATATGTCAAGACATACAAGGAATTTGACTTAGTGGTTTGTGCATAACAGCAGACAGACAATGGACAACAAGACCGATAAGAAGCAATACAATAAAATAAGGCTATGGGTTAGAATATGAGGGTTTGGGTTAGTTTAAAAATAAAGGAGTAAAGTTGAGTGCACCAGCGAACAGATAGCCTTACTCTACACAACTGTGTTGTGAGTGTATGTGAAACCTGAACCATAACCTCCGTTGCCATGAATCAGTTTTTTGTGCATGTACTGTTATAGAATATTGTTTGTAATGTAAAAGAACCCTAAACATTTGGGTAAGTTGGCCCTTTTTATAAGACTTTCCTAGATGACGGAACCCCAGCTCCAAGCCCAAAGCACTCTGTTAAACAAGAACAGCACTGCCCTCTACTGGAAGAACGAAGTGATGAGAGACACAGAATAACCGCTCGGATTATGCTTTCAACTGAAATAATCCCAGAACATTGGTCCATATTTAAAAAGAACACTTGTTAACTGTTTTTTGTTTGTCGTCCAGGCTGTCTGAAACAGCTGTCCATCTTGAAGGTGGACCAGAATAGACTGACCCACCTGACGGATTCAATAGGCGAGTGTGAAAACCTCACAGAACTCATCTTGACGGAGAACCTTTTACAGGTAGGGAGCAACGAGCCGCTTAAAAAAACCCTCCCTCTGACCCAGTTAGGATTTATGCATGCCCTTTTTACAACCTTTGAGTCCAATAACAGCTGTGAAGCTCCATCATAATGTTCACAAAATATTAATGACTCCTGTCTCACTCCCTCAAAGTCACTTCCTCGCTCGCTGGGCAAGCTGAAGAAGCTGACCAACCTGAATGTAGACCGCAACCGCTTGGGCGGCGTGCCCAAAGAGCTGGGCGGCTGTACCAGCCTCAACGTCCTCTCCCTGAGAGACAATACGCTGGGCAAACTGCCCTCTGAGCTTGCAGATGCCACCGAGCTGCATGTGCTGGATGTGGCTGGAAACAGGTAAACCTGCAGCATCCCGCAGAGGTCATTGTCTAACAGCTACATAATATAACCTTGTTTGGATGTATTTTCAAGGCACTGGTGCTAAATAATGAGAGTTATGATTTGGAAAAACTTTAAATAAATGCACCATTGTACAAGTCATTAGTAATTATGGAATGTATTTTAACTTATAGAGTTTAGGTCGATGTCTTACTTACTGAAAAAAAAAAAGGTTGTGACTTATCCCTTCTTTTGTCTAGATTACAAAACCTGCCCTTTGCTCTGACAAACCTCAACTTGAAGGCCATGTGGCTCGCAGAGAACCAGTCACAGCCAATGCTCAAGTTCCAGACAGAAGACGATGAGCACACAGGGGAGAAGGTCCTGACCTGCTACTTGCTGCCCCAGCAGCCTTCTCCAAGCCTAGGTGAGTTGCGTTATGTTTTTAGTCAGCTGACCAGTTGTAGCTTTTAAAACCACATTTGATTGTGTTACTTTCCTGTTAAACGAACAACTTGAAGAAGATTAATTCCTTCTTCTTTGTGATCCACAGAGAACCTGCTGCAGAACAGCGTGGACGACAGCTGGACGGACACAAATCTGAACAGAGTGTCGGTCATTCAGTTCCAGGAGGAGACCAAGGCGGAGGAAGAAGAAGATGATGATGCTGCCGCGGAACGCAGAGTGAGCAACACAAGAATAACGGGCCAATAACAAGTCCTCTCCATGCCCTCGAATCAGCATTGCTGCTGTACATCTGTCGAATTTGATTTAGTTCATCTTTATTGAAAACTATTTGGCTTCAGTGGTATTGTCAGTTGTCAGAGACTCCGTCATGCTACGTATCTGTTGGAGCTCGGTGCTAATGTATACTTGTTTAATTCATGCTTTTTAATCTTCTTCTTTTTTTCTTGTTTCAGGGCCTTCAGCGTAGAGCCACACCTCACCCTAGTGAGCTGAAGGTGATGAAGAAGGTTATTGAGGAGAGGAGGAATGAAGCGTACACATCCAGACCCGATGGCGAGGAACAGTCCCCTGATCCACAGGTACCTCCACCACAATGTATAATTAATCTCCTTCAGTTAACGTTTATGGGTGTAGTAAAATGTCCGGCTAAATGTGTCATCATTTACCGGTATCCCTGATCAATCAAAGTGATGCTTTGGGTTCTAGGAGAAACGGCTCAGTGACCTTTCCAATCAAAGCAACGACTCCCAGGTGTCCAACAGCACTCTGTCGGCGACTTCCCACGAGGAAAGAAGAAATGCGGCAGCGGCCTCGCAAAGGGGCGACCTTGTGGGCGGCCACTACCATCGAGATGAGGAAGAGCAGGATGAGATGGAGGTGGAATACATTGAGGTGAATGTTTTGAACATCTTATCCATAACCCTGTTATGTTTTATGTTATTTCCCAAATGATTCTTCTAAACGAAAAACAATCTCTGTGACTAGCTAATTCAATCTCAAACCTCTTTCTCCAGCCCTCAGTGCACTTTGCAGAGGAGCCCATCATCCGTGGTTTGCATGAGGACGACGACGACGATGGAGGGGAGGATGGGGAGAGTGAGGAGGACGAGAGGCCGGCCATCCCCGCGGAGAAGCAGCGCCTAATCAGAAAGGACACGCCGCACTACAAGAAGCACTTCAAGATCAACAAGCTGCCCAAACCAGAGGCTGTGGCGGCGCTGCTGCAGGGCTTCAGTCCCGCCGGCATGAACTCTCCGACGCAGGCCGCCGAGCAGGACGAGGACGAAGAGGAAGAGGAGGAGCTAAGTTTGTGCACCCCTCAACACCATCACAGAATGGAGGAGCTCCAAGACAGCCGGCTGCAGGTCAATTCCAGTCAAGTAAAGGTAAAGGATCGATTGAAGGGTGCAATGAAGGAATGTAGAGGGCGGCTTGGTAGAAACTGTTGCTTCTTATAAATACTGTATTTCCTCACTTACATTTAAATGCCTGTAGAAGTCTATTGGTACAGGACATACAGACAAGTTGCACTGAAGGTATTTCACACACCAAATCAGTTAATTTATTTATTTTGTGCTTACATCTTCCTTTGTTATTGTACGAATATAGTTAAATTTAAAATATATTTTTCGGTTGTTCACTGCATCTATGCAGACACTTAATACTGTACGCAAAGAGTGCCCTTTCCACCTTGCAACATGCATTCAGGTAGGAGTGGGGCCTCCAGCATATATTAAGCATGTGGCGTTGCATGCAGGGTCATTGTGGAAATGAAGACATCTACCGCTGCGCTCTAAATCAAGGGCAGTGTTCTTCTTAGGAGTTGACAACAGTCTCAGGTCTTTACTTTGTCTACAAACACTCAGAGTTCATTGCTGATTATTGTCATTATTTAGATGTCTTTGAAATACAAACAACAATAATGTTCAAACAGTATCTCATACTCTGAGACAAATTGATGGCATTCACTCTAAACCTCTGGGATCCCACATGCGATAGTTTCTATGTCTTAAGCTAACATACCAGATATGAATTATTTGGTTTCAAATGATGGTATTGCTTCCACACGAGCAGCTACAGGCTTTTCTTGCACACCACTGTCCCGGTTAAGTACTAAACCGCTCACCACATTATCAGCCATCTCCTGATTTAATTAAGCAATGACATTTTCACTCTGTCTTCTTGTGACATTGTGCATGTGTGCTTGTAAGCATGAACGGGTTATGAGTGCAAACTGCTCTGGTGCCACTTATGAAAATGAATCTCAATGATGACTTAATGTTTAGTATTTAGATTTATCCTGCTGATTCTAGAGATTATTTCAAACACTGTGATCAAACATCATCTCACCAGATCTGTTATGCGTGTGTTTGTGAATGTGGCTGGTTTGTGTGGCCGACCTCAGACCAACCAGAACATATATTGGCAGAGCTGGAATGTGAAATCCAACGATCCTTGTTTGTGTCATATCATTGTAATAGCCATTTGTATGGGGTGTTTAAAACATTGTAGAGTGTAAGATTCTTCATTGTTCCTCAAGATCATATTCATGATTACGTTGATTTTCAGTTTTATTGAACTACCTGTGAATAACTAGGCAAGTCATGTCTTTATCTTTGGCTTTTTATAGGTTTTTTTTTTTTTTTTCTTCTAAATCGAATCTTGCTCCTGGAGGAATTTGCTCTCTGTGGTGTGGAGGCGGGGCTTTACTGTGGCACGGGAGCTTTTGCCTTCTCTTGTCCGCGCGCTCTACACTGTGTGTTTTGCACTGTAGCTCGGCTCCTTGGTCGTGTCTTTCCATCTCTGCCTGTATTTGCTTCTGGTGGCTGGGGAGTGATTGTGGGATTGCTTCTGATTCAAAGTGGTTCGTCTCGGTGAACCCGAAGGTCCCCACAACTTGCGAGCAGACGTCTGAGTGTTTGGTGTTTTTGTGAATTCAATGGAAAGTGTGAGAAAGGAGTTTTTATTTTGTGTGTGTGTGTATGAGCATATTTTATTTTGGCCTGACTAATCCGCATGCCTCTCGCTGGTTCCTGTCCTAACAGGGGGTGTCATTTGATCAAGTCAATAATCTGCTGATTGAACCTGCTCGAATTGAGGAGGAAGAGGTCTGTACATACTCTTTCCCGTCCAGTCTGTCTCTGTGTCCCCGACTCACCCACTCATTCACTCCTATCCAAAGGTGGAGAAAGTTTCCACAGAAATCCATGGTTAATCCAAGCCAATCCTAGAGCCCCCCCTAACCACAACTCATCTCTGAGACGCCCGGTGTGACGGAACCTGAATGCAGGATTGACGTGGCCAGTTATTTATTCTATTTGTTTTTTTCAATGAGGTTTCACCAATGAGCTGTTTGAGTGCATGTCGGACAAATACGCTAGCGCTGCAGCCATTGTTAAATTGTTCAGTTGCATCCATGAGTCTGCTTCAGTTAAAGGGGGAGTTGCTCAGAATGTGATTATCTTGAAGTTTTTGAGATATTTCTGTCAGCAACGCCCCAAATAAACCTTTAACTGTTGACACGCTGATGCTGAATCTGTCGAGCGTCAGGTTCTGCCACACTACGCCTGTGCTCCTCCACCTTTCCGCCGCTTCTGCTGCTTTGCTCCCCCCCCCCCCTGTACACGCTTTGTCGCCCGGGGATGAATGGGCCGCTTCACCAGCTTCCTCCAGGTGCTTTTGTTCGGTAGGAAACTCCGCTGCCGGGCAGAGGACCAGCTCCAGACTGATGAAGATGGATTGGAAGTTTTCTTCTCCGTAGTCTTATTGTCATTCTGTAAACATTTATAGATTGAAAAAGAAATATAATCTACACATGTTTAGCAATGCAGAAGGTTTTTTTGCATGCTTTTGTATGTATTGTTTTATTGAATACTCTTCTGAGTTGTTTAGTTGTGGGGAAAATGATCTGTTTAGAAACCTATTAGGAAAAACCCAAGTGTCGCAAAGTATTCCATGAAAATATGATGTCTGATTTGTATTTTTGTATGTTTAACAATGTCGTCTCCTTACGACGCACGTCTACACCACACGGCCAAACCTGTCGCCACATCCAGGACACTGCCCATTCTTTTCATCCGTTACTCCCTACATCGCCCCCCGTTCCCTCAACCTTTCCCTCATTTGTCTGCATGCCCCCTCCTTTTTGCATGGCCTGCAGGTACACAGAATATCCATAGTCTGTTACTCCTTACTTAAATTCCCTCATCCCGTACATACACGAGACACATAGTATGTTTTTAGTAAGAGCCAAAGTGAGAGAGGGCTTTAGACGGTGTGTTTCATTACTTTTGTCTGAAGTCAACTGTCAGTTAAGTGGTTAATCGTTTTTTGACTTTTCTCTTTTCACTATACTTAGAAAAAAAAAAAGATAATGTTTAAATGTCTTTAAAGCTAAAGTTCAATCCACAAATAATCTCTCACTTAAACTGACATTAGGCTCCAGACATGTCAAAGTGTCCATCGTCTGTCGGCATGATGACGTAATGCTGCTGTGATGATATCGACACCACCGTGTGGCAGAAGGAGGGAGGTGACCCATGACTTACATCATATGGTGTAAGATATTGTGGGTCCGCCTCCCGTAAGCTGTCCTGAGCCGAGTGGTGTCTGGAGCGTTTATCTAGCTGCTGTTCTGACTCCCCCCTCCTCAACTTGCAGCACAACCTGACAATTGTGCGACAAACCGGCGGCCTGGGAATCAGCATTGCTGGAGGGAAAGGATCCACGCCGTACAAGGGGGATGATGAGGTGAGATGTGTACTCGCAGTTGTGATGCGCTGGAAAAATCAGAAGCCACAGATTATATTCATTTTTTATTTTTTATATTTGTTTGTGTGTTCAGGGAATCTTCATTTCCAGAGTATCTGAAGAGGGTCCTGCAGCCAGAGCAGGCGTTAAAGTGGGAGACAAACTCCTAGAGGTAAAATATTAACTTTTTACTTTTCCATTTACTTCTTCCTCTTGTTTTATAGTTGGATGTTAATTTTTTCCTGCTCCTTCTTTGTCTCAGGTGAATGGAGTGGACCTCCACGAAGCAGAACACCACACGGCGGTTGAAGCGCTCCGCAGCTCCGGCTCCACCGTGTCCATGACGGTGCTGCGCGAGCGAATGGTGGAGCCGGAGAACGCCATCACGACCACGCCGCTCAGGCCGGAGGACGACTACTTCCCGCGCGAGAGGCGGAGCAGCGGCATCGCCTTCAACATGGAGACGACTCCCAGCGTGCCGCACCAGCGGTTCTCCACCTGCCTCATCCGAAACGACAAGGGGCTGGGGTTCAGCATCGCCGGGGGCAAAGGTTCCACGCCCTACCGCACGGCGGACACGGTGAGGTTTTAAGGCTTTCCATCGAACGCTGCTAGTCTGTAGTCAATAGAGATCATAGGTTTCAGTTGAAAGAATTGTTCTGAGAGGTGATCGAAAACTAAAAGCTAAAATAAGTTTAAAGTTGGAAAGTGAGGTCAGAGAGATGTCTTTTAGAATTGTCTATTCCACCCGCAGCGTTTACATCGTCTCCAAGGAGATGGAGATATGAATAGCCAGTACTGACACCCGATAGGTCCTCTTTAACTGGACAGGGTGAGGTGTATATTTGAGCCAGTGCAATCGGGCATCGGGACTTATGCAGCTCAGCAGGCCCGCAGAGGAAAGGACTCATAAACGTATGATTGAGGCGGGTCAGAAATCTGGTTGTTACTGGTTGATCTGGTTCAGCAGCTCCTGCATGTGTTTGTACATTTGGTCCAGAGAGTTCAGCTGTTGTTAGTTAAGTAAGTTGTGTAATCTGTCTCTGAGTAATAGCGACGTCTTTTATCTGCACATTGAATGTGAATATTCAATGCCAAAATGTAGAACTAGTTTAAGCGGTTGACAATGTTTCCTGTGTGGTTTTAGGGAATCTACATCTCCCGGATCGCAGAGGGAGGAGCAGCACACAGAGACAGCACGCTGCAAGTAGGCGACCGGGTGATCTCGGTGAGTTCCACCTCCATCATTCAGCGTGAACAAAATAAGGATTCCTTTACAGTGTTTACATCCACGTTGGAATGGGAACCATTCACCTCCTTTTTTCAACTTGATTTAATGTAGAATTCACAATTTGGTATGGACCTCAGTTTTGGGGTCACGGTTCGGTGAGCAGGATGAGAAAATTAGAGCTAATTGTTTACATAGACATTCAGCGGTAGACATTGGTTTTATTATGGTATTTCCAACATATCCTGGTAATGCACTGTAATTAATCCAGATCAGGAGTCTTTTTCACAGCTATGCAGTTTTTCTCCCATCGTAAGTGATGTTAAGCGATCATTTTATGCACGTCTTCATTGCTAAATGTTATTGTATTTTAATGTGCCCACAACACTGCTCTCATCCCTCAAGTTAAGTCCATCAAGAATCATCAAAACCAAAAATTGGCGCCCGAGACAGAATACTAATACAGACGACCAACTAACTCTAACCCGGAGTCTCTCCTCTTATGTAGATTATGAAGCACTTTGAAGTGAAATGCCTTTTTTGTTTTCTGTGCTGATCACACACTTTCTGGCAGCGTATCAATCGCTGAGAGAACTGAAATGCCGATATGGTTCCTTTTGATTTGTCCTGAGGTTCTTCCCCTACCGTACCAAATGTTAAAGTGCTCCTACTGTTTCTTGAATGGCCGTCACTCTCACTGAGAATCCCAGAAAATCTACTTGATTTTTCTTTTTTTTCCACTCGCTCTTTCCTCTGCTCTCTTTCGTTTGTGGATTTGGAGGTTGCCTCTTTTACTCTTTCTCACCATCTGCATGCTCACTAATGTATTAAGTGCATTTCCATGGCTGCTTGGTGGGGGTGGTGGGGGTTGGGGGGTGAGCCTATATGTAGCAGCATATAAGCCGATGGTAAGAGCCGGTACTGTCGGGTCAGTGCTGACCTCTGCTTGACACTTTTTGTACCGCTTTAGATCGTGCATCCCTGAAAGTTACCCCTAATCTGAAAACCAAGTTTGACCAAATAATGATCCAATAAACATTTGAGAAGCCCTCTTTGCCTTTTTTGTCTTAAGATAAAGATGTTTGGAAGAACACGCTTCCCCTTGTGTTTTAAGTAAAAAAAAGGCAAGGAGGAGTGAAAACTATTTAGATGATTACATTACGTGACTGAGGACCAGCCGGTCTTATATTTCTTCGACTTCTACAATGATACGAACATGATTCAAGTCCCAAAGACTTTATGTATGTTCTTATTAACACCTCCGACTGCTTGATAGTAGCTTTTCTCACTGGGGAAGTTCTGCCAGCAGCATCCTGCTGTTACTGCTCGCTCCCTCTTTTCTGTCCCTGTTCCTGCTGCTGCGTGCAGGTGTTGGCTTCTACTACAAATAACAGTACTCACTTGGGTGCACTCACACATTTCAATGGAATCAACTGTGAGAATGTTTTAGATGTTGAGTAGATCATTTCGAGTGATCGGGTGTAGAGTTATCATCGAGCATCTCGGAGGGCTGACACCCTTCGTGGTTGGTTTTACTGTCGATCCAGATCAATGGTGTAGAAATGACAGAGGCCAGGCATGACCAGGCAGTAGCGCTCCTTACCGGCACCTCCCCCACCATCTCCCTCCTGGTGGAGCGAGACCCGAATGCGCCGGGGGGCTCTCCGGGTCAATCCCGGGCGCGAGCCCACTCCCCTCCGCCCCCAGAGCCCTCCGATTCACCGGACCAGGACGAGGACGGACTCAACATTCACGGGAACAACCTGAGTCGGATGGAGGACGAGTATCCCATCGAGGTGAGTCGCCTTAGGCCCGGCTTTAGTGCCTATTAGAAAAATCCCCCTGGCTGCAACACATCTTCCTCTAATCCAAACAGGAAGTAACCATGCTGAAGTCAGGTGGCCCTCTAGGCCTGAGCATCGTGGGAGGCAGTGATCACGCCAGTCACCCGTTTGGCATCAACGAACCCGGAGTGTTCATCTCCAAGGTTTGTCTTTGAAATGTCTTTGTTTTGCAGTTTTTTGGGGGGGGTTTTATGTCTCCTTAAATATGTCGAGTATAATCGTCCACCCGTCTCACCAGGTGATTCCTCACGGCCTGGCGTGTGAAAGTGGACTGCGCGTCGGGGACCGAATCTTAGAAGTGAACGCCATCGACCTGCGCCACGCTACGCACCAGGAGGCAGTGCGAGCGCTGCTGGCCAACAAGCAGGAGATCCGGATGTTAGTGCGCAGGGACCCGTCACCGCCCGGGATGCAGGTGAGGCCGTCGACTCAAGATCATATGCGTGAACTAATGGAAGCGTAACAGAAGCATGTGCTGATGAGCTGCGTTCTCATTACTGCAGGAGATTGTGATCCAGAAGCAGCCCGGGGAGAAGCTTGGCATCAGTATTCGGGGAGGGGCCAAGGGTCACGCAGGAAACCCCTTTGACTCCACAGACGAGGGCATCTTCATCTCTAAGGTTCTGCAATTACTTTGTCGGACAACTATGCAATTCAATATTTCTCATGGCCTTTTCACCACTTTTGAAGAAATTGGAATCCACTTATAAGCTTTCGATGCGCTACGTCACTGGTTGGATAGAAAGAGTTCTCAGATCACTTTGTTTAAAGCCACATCTCCTCAAACTTAGAGCTGAGCATGATCTTGTCTCGACTGCTCCGTGCAGAGGAATAAAATAATGCAAATGGTTAAGCAGCAAAAAGGGATGTAGCTTTTTATCGACAACATTTTAAGAGTGAGGTTTAAAAGGATGTTGTATGTGCCTGACTTACCATTACACTGTATTAGTCACAAACTTACGCATACTCTGGTCAACGTAAAAACAGGTGAGTTCGAGTGGTGCGGCAGCAAGAGACAGCCGGCTGCAGGTTGGCATGCGTATCCTGGAGGTGAACAACCACAGCCTGCTGGGCATGACGCACACAGAGGCAGTGCGAGTGCTGCGGGCTGTAGGAGACTCTTTGGTCATGCTCATGTGCGACGGATTCGACCCACAAAAGATGACCACCGTGGAGGTGAGACACCATTGGACTCATATTACATTTTTTTTTTTCAGAGGTTGCCTAATCCTTTTTTTCCCCAGACGATTTTAAGCCTCTTTTTGGGTCCGTTTGCAGGCCTCTCCCGGAATCATTGCGAACCCATTTGCTTCAGGCATCGTCCGTAAGAACAGTATGGAAAGCATCTCTTCGATAGACCGAGACCTGAGCCCAGAGGAGATGGAAATCATGCAGAAGGTACAATACAGATAATGCATTTTTACACTCATCATCATAATATATATATATATATATATATATATATATATATATATATATATATATATATATATATATATATATATCACCAAAGCTGTTAAAGCTGTAACATTGGAGAAAATTACGAGAGTAAAATAGATTACTAAATTATCCAACTGAAATAGGGGTTTGTTTATTGCTCTTTCTGTGCATTAGGCAGTAATTAAGTGCTTAAGTCGAACAAAGCCCCAAAACACCCCGTTCATCCACATACCAGGAATCAGTTTGACAATCCTGTGACGATCCACGCGAGAATCGGCTGTTTGTTTCCATCCACATCGGTCTGACTCTAACCATCCAGGCCCACCGCACGTAGCCCTCTTTTCACCACGGCACCCAGGAATCGCCAACACAGTGGTTTATTTTGTCCAGATGAGCTTTTGGGAGACTGCCCGTGCTAAAGGAATGTAGGGGCTTGTTGCTGTATTAAATGCGAGTTCCACGCTTTGATCAGTTCAGAGTTTTTCATTGCGCACATTTCATCAGCCAGAAAATCATTTTAAGGGAAATGTAATGGTCACTTTTCCGCTTAGATCCTGTTGTTAATTGGCATTTTAAAGCTTTTTAAATGTCACTCTTTTCCAGGAGTCTGAGATGGTGAGAGAGACCTCGCAGTGGGAGCGAGAAGAGATGGAGAAAGTGGTAAGTGAACCGGAGAATCTATGAGCGCTTTGGGGCGGTTACAGGTATTATTGGGTCTGTCCGATCAGCAGAGAGCCACATTGCGTAAAGCCAGAGGATAAAGGTTTTGCTCCATGCAAAATGAGGAACTGCACACCACTGTAGGGTGGAGTCTGTAATCGGGTGAATGAAGCTTCTCCTCTGCACCCCGTGTGTGTATTGTGTTTGACAGAACTATTCCTGCAATGTCCCAACCTGCATGCTTATTTTTTCTGCTCCCGAAACTAGCGAATAGAGTACTTTCTAATGTGTGCGGATTCTATCCTTTCTTTCTCCTCTGTTTTTTTTTCTCTCTTCTGTCATTTTGCTTTTGGTGTGTTTGGCGTGATGGAAAAAAAAAAATCATCCCATCTCCATACCACTTCTGCACTGTTGTTTTTCTCCTCTCCACTCCCTGCATCACCGCTTTCCCCCTTCTGTAAATCCTCCAATCTTCTCGCTGCTCATCGCATCGCTGTGTGGCTGTGTGTGGTCGGGTCTCTTCCCTCCTGGACTCTCTCCGTCCTCTTCCTCCCCTTCCTTTCATGGTGAAGGAGCGTATGCGCTTGGAGCGTGAGGAGGCGACCCGCCTGCTAGAGGAGGAGACTGAGGTGAGAGACTCCTTGTCGACACGTCTGCAGGCGTCTTCCCGGAAGTCTGTGCGAAGACGTCCCACGTCGGTCGTCCCTTTCCAGGGTCTTCTATTCAGTATTTAGCCAGATTGAAATAGCTTAGTTTACTGGAGAAAGTCAACGTCCAGGTAATCTGGGAGAACTCACTGGAAACAAAACCAACTGAAGTTAGTGGCAGTGGTTGGGAAATCAGTTTATAGAGCTTGTGTGTAAGCCTCGTATTTTACATGTTGCAATGGCTATAAAGAGCTTAGCTGGTCCCTCCACCCGGAACCCTGGATCTTCTTCACCCTTTTCACACCTGATGGGGTTGCATGCCTGTGATTGTGACAAAGGCAAAAAAAGGAAGAAGAAACGAAACACTTCCATTTAGAGTCTGTCGGCACTCTGTTTTCATTTGCCACGACACTGTTTAAGGGGCCTGTTTTTGGTGCACTACTTCGGCGGGATGTTGTATGGCCAATTAAATCAAAATAAATTATAGTGTATAATGTTAATTGGTAAGAAGAGACAAATAACCCATAACAGTTACGGTTCTGAACTGTTTTGGACAACAATGAAACTGGCACTGAAGGATAAGTGATTATAAAATACCATCAACTTTGAACTATATTCTGGATTTTTGTATAAAAATACGTCAGCCTTGTCCACCACTCACCTCCGATCCCTGTTTATTTCTGTGTAGAACATTGGAACTGGACCTCTGAAACTTGACTATAAAACCCTGGCGGCTCTGCCCACCACCAGCCTGCAGAAGCTCAACAGGGTAAGTCTCCCTCCACCTTCTCCAGTCTCCCTTTCAACGTGTTGGAAATGATTGCAACCCTCTCAGGCTGTGGATTGCTCGCGTGTCTGTGCAGCTTATGTTGGAAGTGGCCTTCATAGCTCAGAATAGACCCCTTCGTGGAATCCCTTGGTTTTGGGTCACAGGGAAACTCTTGAGTGACTCGAGCCAGCCAGCTGCTCCTCCAGGAGCAGGAATGTTAACCTCCCTCCGTGAGCAAAACCCCACGACAACTTTACAAACCGTGGCCCCAAGGCCGAGACCCGAACAAAAACCGCCTCTACAGCAACGGACAAGAGCGCAGGGTGGACATCCACCCGCAGTGAAGAAATGAAGATTGAGATGTTTGCAAAAAGGAAAGCGGAGAACAAGAATCGATAAAAGGAAGTGATGACTAAAAGAGTCTGTGGAAGGTGTGTGCAGAAGGAGGCGGACTTGAAATGAAGCAATGTCCAACACCGGACGCTGTCCTGGTTGTGTGAAGGAGGTGGGGTGGTGGGGGTGGGGTGAGGACAGCTGCCTGCTATCAACCCGCCTATCCTCTGTGATATTTTAAACCTGCATCTGGCCCGGATTTGGAGTCCCGTGGGAGGGTGGGGTGTCAGACGGGGAGGGAGGCCGTCGTCTAGGAGGAACCGACAAGTGTTTCAGTCGGAGCTCCCAAAGTCCTCTGAGGAGTAAGTTTGAGAGGACATCCAGCGCTGTCCTGTTTCCATCCGACAGTGAGTATGGAGAGTGGTTCTGTCCTCTTTCTTCTCTGTCCACTCTACTTTGACTCGCTGTGTGTCTGTTAGGCGTCGAATAGACCACTTCAGGATTTTGACTTTAGAGTTCCTTGAACCCCGATCACTGAAAGGTTTAGATTTCTCCAAAACACACATTTTTATACTACACCAAATACAAAAGTAGTCATTTATTTTATTTATTTACTTTATTACCCTCAGGGCCACACAACGGTAATGAAAGCGCCGTCACTTTGTGTCCTTGTGTAGATCGTCCAGCACGCCGCACACAGCATGCAGCTGTTAATGCTCGCTGCTACACAGCACACGAGTTCCTGCTCCAACCGTCGTACACTCGACCCGTATTACTACCAGCACGTTGTCCTCTGAGCTTAGGTGGTGGATTTTAGTGAGGAGTCAACTCTGCTTTAACTAGAAGTCAGGAAAGGAAAACCTTACAAAGAAGAAAAGAAAACTCCACCTCGAACTTTGTTCTGGTTTGACGACGTGGTAAAATATGCAGCTTCTAGTTCTCTCTGGCAGGAACAATGAGACGTCAGAGTACAAATGATTCATTTACTGGTTCCCAGCATAGTGACGCAGACCGGCAGCCTCGCTCTCTCCAAACCACAACCCCAGCTGTCCCTCAGTGTGTGTCAGTCACATTCCATCCCACTGGCCCTCGTCACAGAGCAGATTCTAACCGTCAGCATGTAGGGAGCCACATTGCTGCCTCACAATGCTTGTTGTATTCTTAGCGCGGCTATTTAGATGATCGGCACACACGTCAAGGTCACATTGAACTACGGTCGCGTGCGTCCGGGTTGACTTGATTTTTTTTTTTTTCGTAGGCGGTTTGTAAAAACACTTATTTGTTTGCTCTTATCATCTCGTTACTCGTCCTCTCTGTTCAGTACAGTAGGACCCGAAAGGGCCGTCGGAGCCTCAAAGTCTCGCCGCTCTGATAATACGGTTATTTAAGGCACAGGCCGAGAGCTGTGGACTGCAGCAACGTATCCGAGTGGCACACGTGTGGAGTGATGGGTAACTGAGAAACGTGTCTTTAAGGCTTCAGGGGAGATTTAGTGATGTGAGTGACTCCTTTTATCAGCTACACTATCACTCTTGAAAATGAAAACTGAAGACTTGAAGCCACTAATGGAACAAGCCATTAAAGCTGTTGTAGCGTCTGATGTTAACTGAAGACCAAACAATAAGTTTATTGGACCAAATGTATCGATAATGCAAATTCCAGTGTTTAATATCTTACTTGACCAGTTATGAGAGCCAATCAGCACCGACCAATATGCAAAAACTAATCATGACAGTCGAAAGGCAATCAAAACAAAAACAAAGTATTAAATGTTTACACAAACGGTCAATGTAAATTTCCATTACTGCTGTAGAGAAGTCTCCATGTTCCTGGACCTCAGCAACTACTTATCTTATTTAGAACAGTCTTAGCATAGCTAAATAAATAAAACCGAACTAAGCGCAAATCGTAATTAACCTTAAAGATCTTTTAACCTCTTTCTCTCTCCATTTGTAAAAAGCGCCGTGTGTGTGAGTGAAACCCTTCCTGTGGCTCCTCGTTCTTCCCCTTCAATCTGTCCTGCCTCTTTCCTTTGCTCCTGTCCAGTTCTCTACCTCTGAAAGTCTGACCGCTCACATGGAGGCCCCCCCGCAGGCCCAGTACGGAGCCCCCTTAGAGCCCCTGGGCTTCGGCTCAGCCCACCCCGAGTCCGACCCCGGTCCCGACGCGGACCGCGACTACCTTCGAGGCTCCCAGTTCGCCCCCGACGGGACCTCCAGCGCCGGCTCGTCGACGCCCATTAGTTCGTTGGCGGCCGAAGAAGAGGAGAGCCTGGTGGACTCTCAGCCCATCTGCTTCAAAGAGAACCCCTTCCTGGTGGCCAATCGCAGAGGAAAGGGGCGTCCGGCCGGACAGCAGGTCCTGTCGGGGCCCCCGGTGGGCTACGGCAAGGGGGGCCAGCTGCAGCCCTGGTTGTTCAACAAGGCAAGCCGCCTGCCTGCGTGTGGTGTGGAGGCAGCATGGTGTGTTTACACAGTGCCGGTCGGCTCGGCCGCCCCCGTCCCCCGGCCCTTCAAACGGATCGTTGCACCGAGACTCACCCGATTGCACAGAGGTTTTTACCTTAAAACGGTTCATTTGGACCCAAAGAAGCACCTCTCACTTTCTAGAGGGTTATAACCGGTGTGCACATCCCTTCAGGGCGATCAACAGAAAATGTGCTCATCAGTTTTTAACCCGCTGGGTTCTGTGGTTTTGTACTGTTGGTGGGAAGGAAGTAAAACATTGAAAGCAGCTGTATTAGAATGTTTGTATCCTCATGCAGAGGAGGATTGATGTGGTTTTTAAAAAGCCTTGTGTCCATACGGAGCTCTATACTGTTAAGGAACTGCGTTTATTAATCAGCCGAGCCGATGCATGTTTTCACTGCGAGCACCTTGTGAGGTATTTTGGCACATGGTCCGTACATAGTCAGGAATGTCCGTCCCAACAGCTGTGAGGGGGGTCACGAGTCAAGAAGGAACGCTGAGCTTTGTTGTGGGTTGAGTTGCGGGCGAGAACACTTCTCTACAGGACTAACCGGTCGACGCCTGGTGGGCTTTTACTTCACTGCAGCGTTTCGTCGGTGCACGGAGTGAAAGTCAGTTGTAAAGTGTGTTCTTGGTGATTTTTGTTTTCCCAGGCAGCTCCCTCTGATTTCACCAGGACCGAGAGCCCGATCCGAGAAGCCCCCTACTCCCCCACCATCCAACCGGTGAGCATCCCCGACGCCCATCCGCATCCACCCTTTTACTTCATTTCCTCCTTTTCCATCAGTCAGTTCTGCTGCTTCAGGTATTTTACAGCTGACCCTTTTGACCTTTCCTCCCCCCTCGTAGCCCAGCCACCACTCTTCCAACAGCTCCCTGCATGCAGGCAGGGAGACGCGCTTCGTAAGTGGGTCTTGTGGCCCTCTGCTCTGGCCTGGATGTTTTTCATTTATCTTGTGCTGTTCTGACGCTGCTTCTGTTTATTAAAACATAAGTAGTTTGTGTCTGCTGCAGTCCTGCTGGTGCGAAACGCATGCGACTGCTCCTCTGTGGGCAGCTGATTACCGACGCTTCGCCTCACGCAGACCGGATGTGCGTTCAGTGCAGACATAGATTTAGTTTTTTCCTTGATTTGTCTTTCAATGTCTCTACTGACCAGCTGTGGTTTCACACTCTTGACAAAATATAATCTTTATTTACCGTGAGCAACGATTCCAGTTTAGAGGAGATTCTATAATTTAGGTCAAACCCCGGTGCTGGTGTTTGTCTGTGTTTGGCCCGGCATCGTCCGATAGTCAACATTTAGTGACATTATGCACTGTTGGTTTGTGTAAGTACAGGTTGCTGATCCAAGCATTTCATTTCATCGTCATCATTATTCTATTTTTTTTTTTTTTATTTGCAGGCAAACCTTCATTTCACCTCCACTCCTACAGCCAACACTGACAGCACGTCTTCATCAGTGAGTAGGAAATCAGGAAGTGGCTTTTATTGTAGATTAGTCATCACAGATGTAATATATTCATCTTTTTATTACATATTTGTTATGGGTTTTCATTTTTTCAGTGTTTTTTTTGTATCTAAATTTTAATGCTTCTATATTGTTTCAAATAACCCAAACTCGAAAGGGAGAATCATCTGTTTATCAATATTTATCATCTGGGCTTTTAGGGGAATTTGGTTGGACACCTTTCATTCGCCACATTCATCCTCAAGTCTGATGTCTGAATTCAATTTTCTTCCTTTTGCGAATTTGCATTAACAAAATAGGTCCATGAAATACCCTTTTGCTATTTTTTTCTCTCCAGACTCGGCCGGGTGCCATCCAGCCCGTCGGCCGCGCGCGGCAGAGTCCCTCCCCCGCCACTCCGGACGGCCACAGTCCTAACCCCTTCCAGCATGGCCCCTCCCCCTTCGACTCCCAGACCTCTGTAAGACCCCTCACCACCACCACCACATAGTGCCGTCTTCTGTCCACTCGCAGCTCCGTGCCGCCGACTGCGCGGTCCAACGTCTCGCAGCAGAGACGCAGGCGTGTGTGGCACGAGAATTATTTCTTTATTTTTTTTGTAAGAGGCGAGAACCAAAGACGAGGGAGGCTTGTATTTGAAGGCCCCTGTGCAGGCGCTGCAGTCTGTGACCTTCAGACCTCCCACACCTGCAGACGGAGCCTCCATCTCAACTCTGAGCTCCCCAAACCGATCATTTGTCACAATTACAGTTCTCTGAAACGCTCCACTTATTTCTCCCTGTGGCGAGCAGCGTAGTCGGATCGGTAAATAATCAGAAGCCATGATTTCATCTCACGTCTTTCATTTGTTCCCCAACGGTTGAGCTTTCCAAGCCCGGCTGTTCGTCTTCCCCCGCCATGCTCTTCACCCGTTCTCCTCCACGGTCTTTGTCAACTCTGCCGGGTTTTTTCATCGTCTGTCCTTTCCTGCGTGTCTCTGTCTGTCCTTCCCACTTCCTCTTCTCCCCCATGGCTCCTTCACCACATGAACCTACCTCCATGACCCCCCACCCCCCACCCTGCAGCCTCGCGCCCCCTCCCTCACCTCGCCCGACGAGCTCCCCATGAATGTCAAGCAGGCGTACAAGGCGTTTGCCGCCGTGCCTCGCTCTCTGGCCGTGCTGGAGCCCCCCCAGGTAGGCCGCGCTGCACCGACAACGACAAAAGCATGCTGTGCTGGTTGGTTGGTCGTCTCCCCCCCCTCCCCCCGGTTCCTCCTGACTGGAGCAGGCTGTCGGGGGGCCTGTGACGTGCTGTGACGTGTGGAATGCGATCGTTGTTGGTTTCCGTACTTCAAACTGGTGTGGAGTCTTCATCCATCATGCATCCGTGTGCGACTCGTGTTCCAATATTCAATCCCCCTTCTTTGTCTGTATTATTTCCTCCTGCCTGCTCTGTATCGCTGTGTTTGTCCTCATTCTGACTTTGCTTCACTTTACTAACATCCTGCTGTGCCCAGCAGGACCTGTATGGCGTGAGGAACAACTTCCACCCAAAGCAAACTCCAGAGGTGAGTAAACAAAGTGACTGAAAACATTAAAAGTCGAGCTGTTGGATATTTTACAAACGTGGTGGTTGTATTATATCCACGGTCTAGAATTTAAACTAGCCGGAGGGCACGATTGACCCGGCTGCTACGAGAACGACGTAGCACGTCTCGATTAGCTCTAAGCAAACCGCGGGCAGCAAGTCACCGTCGTCTGACGGTCTGGTGTCGACCTGTGTGGCCTTTTCAGCCTGAGTTGATGAACGAGGTGTTTGATGGCATAGACGGTCAGGAGGGGGCCGGTAGGGGTCCGACCGGCACGCTCCCCCTCTCCCCTGACCGCCGGGAGTACATGAGCCTGGCAGCAGTGCCTCGCCTCTCCAGGCCTTCCTGGGACCCGAAGGTACCCGACCGCCCTCCGCCACCCCTACGGCGGCCCCCTGCTCCGCCCGGGTGCGCTCGGCTTCATCGGTGGTGGTGTTTCTGCTGCCAGACACCGGAAGGCAGCCATAACTCCCAGTTAACTGATCTTACATCAGCTGGTGGTGCTGGGTTCTGTTTTGATGGATAATTGGTAGATGTCTTTGTCTGTGGGACTTCTCTTCTCTGGCATCTCTTGTGAAACCCTCTGCTCCTCTGGAAATGGCTTTGCTACTTCTTTTATAGCTAGATTTACAGAGCAGTTTCATCCTCTGTAAATGATCGGCGGTGCCTCAGCACCCGTCCATTGTAATCTTTATATCTTGTATTCCGTCCTGATTTGTCTTGTTACCCTGCAGAGTCCATCTCCTGGTGGTAAGTCCAGCCCAGAGCAGCGCTCCTTCAGGGACAGACAGAAGTACTTTGAGATCGACATGAAGCAGCAGACGCCAGAGAAACCCAAACCTCGCGTGTCTCTCGTTGGCGAAGATGACCTCAAGAAAATGAGGGAGGAAGAAGGTTTGTTTATATCGCCTCTCCCCAACCCTCCCTTTGCCCAAACCAGAAGTCTACAACCGTGTGTGTGTGTTCATCTCGCCTCAGAGAGGAAGTTTGAGCAGCGGGCGCAGGAGTACCTGCTGGATGAGGAGGAGGACGATGAGGAAGAGGACCTGGCTAAGCAGGTGGCGCAGATGAAGGTGACTGGCAAAGTGTTGCTGGACGGAGTGGAGTACAACGTGGAGCCAATAAGCAGCCCGTCACAGCACCGCGCCACGCCCCCGAGCTACAGCGCCACGCCCCCGAGCTACAGCGCCAAGCCCCCGGACTACAGCTCCGCGCCCCCAAGCTACAACGCCACGCCCCCGAGCTACAACGCCAGCTACTGTGGCAGCTCCGGGTAAGACGTAAAACACAAACTCTTCAGACGTTCTTTCCTTTCATGTTTCTTCCGCTCATATTTCTGTTTGCATGCAGGCCTCCCTCTGTTGACGGGAAGGGGGAGTCCCAAAGGAATTCCCTGGAGGACGGCTTCAGGGTGGAGCAGAGGCCCACCTCCATGACCGGGTAGCTGCCGTTTACTCCACGTCCCTGAATGCCTCGCTGTTGTTGTTGTTTTCTTCCCCTGTAGTCATCACTGTTTCTTGTGCGTGCCGTCAGTCTGATCCCGGCGTACCCGGGAGACTCGGCGGCTCCCGTCCGCACGGCCAAAGCAGAGCGCAGACATCAGGAGAGACTCCGCATGCAGAGCCCCGAGCTGGCTGTGGCCCCCGACAGGGACCTGTCCCCGGCTGAGAAACGAGCTCTGGAGGCTGAGAAGAGAGCCATGTGGAGGGCAGCACGGTAAAGGAAACAAATAATGGGGCCCTTTTTTTAAGCTCTTACTTAACTTGTGTTCCATTGTACATTGATATTAATAAGTGTGTAAAAGGAAACATGCATCGTTACTAACTCTGTATTCATTTATATATATTTATTAATGAAGAAGAGCCGTTCAAACAAACTGAAATGGCCTTTATTAATTATTCTGACTGAACGAGAACAAATTCGTCATCACCATCTGTCATGTCACCTGATCGTCTCCTCCCCCTACTAATATCAGTACTTTCAGCTTTTTTACACCATAGTAGGATAACACTTGCAGTTTATGGTCTAATCCTACATCACATTTTTGCATTATTTTGGTAATAGGAGGAAGGTTTGCTTTCTTAAAGCAACATGACGTTCTGAAATATACCTTTACTGCTATTATGAAAGACAATTGTGCAGAGATTCTGCTCTACGTCTAAATAAATACCAAGCTCACACACATGGAATCCTCTGTAGTGAGTTCACGGCTCATTCTGTGGTCAGTCTGCAGTGAATCTTCTAATGGGTGTTGGTGTTTTACCTTCCATTCTTTGGTTTTCTTCTCTTTTCTGTCCGTATGCCTTCCTTTCCTTCTTCATCCCGGTGCACTCCTTGTTCCGTTGCACCCCCCCACTCCCCCCATGTGTCCCCTCCCATTCTCGCTGGCCTCGCGGGGCCCAGGCCCTGTGGCCTAGAGGAGGATGTTAGGCAGTATGAGCAGGACCTGGCTAAGAGACTCTACCAGGCCCGAGTGAGGGCATCTCAGGGCACGGCCGACCCCCAGCCCCCCACCTCTTCCTCCTCCTCCTTCTCCTCTGCAGCAGCAGCCTCACAGCTCAGGTCTGCTCCTCGGCCCCCACCCACCTGGGCCAGAGGCACGGCATCGTGGGGTTGTGCTCAGGGTGCTTTGGTGTTTGGGGGTATTTTGCTGGGGGCCGGAAAGGTCCAAGCAAGCACTGGCAGCAGCACTGTGCTTCCTCTGCCTTTCCTGTGCTGTCTTGCTTCTGCACGTCTTTGCCCCCCCACCTCCCCTGTCTGTGTCGCTTCCTCTCTGCAGCACTGTTTTCATTTGCGCCTTGCTGTTCTCTTGATTTTCACGCTATTGTTTGTACTAACAAACATGAGTGAGGGTAAAAAGCTTACCAGCAGTAGGCGGTCCTTTTCCTGGAATGCCTCTCCTCTCCTTTTTTTTCTTTTTTGTGTAACTAAATTAAACCGATAGTTAGTGACAGCAAACCAGGACAAGGAGCACCCGACAGTAGTAGTGATCAACACGTGTGTGTGTGTGTGTGTGTGTGTGTGTGTTCGCCTCCGTCAGCTAGTGTCTCCCTGTGTTTTCTTTCCTTCTAGTATCATTTCTGAAGGCGGTTTTTCCTCTTGCAGGATGAAGTCTCTGGAGCAGGATGCACTGAAAGCACAGATGGTCATCGCCAAGTCGCGTGACGGAAAGAAGCGCGGCACACTGGACCAGCTGACGGAGTCGCCGTCGCCGGCCCCGACGCCCTCTCCCACGCCCATGGAAGGTAAGAACGCCAGTTTACAGTTAATGTAGTTTAAAGCTGGAGGTTTTGGCTCCACTTTGTTCTAACTTCACATTTCCTGTTGTCCTCTGCCAGAGCTCAGTCCTCGAGGAGTAACGTCGCCTGGACGGATGGTAAGTGCTCAACCGTCCTCTTCATTAAAGTAATGATGTGTTGACGGATTTTGCGATGGGCGGGTTACTGTATCTTTTAAACGGACAAATACGAGTTTGGTTTTCTCACGTTGAAGTTCATTATGAGGATCTTTCTAAAGGAGAACACGCTTGTTGGTTTACAAGCTGGAAAAGGAAAATAAGATACGTTTCAAAACTCTATGGCATTAATCCACCATCTCGCTCATTGTCGCTCTAGGAAATCAGAGCCGGAAACACACACAGCTCATTATTTGCCACAGGTGGCTGTTTGAATCACCCATTGGCCTCTCTGCCTCCTACCTTTCCCTTTCCTATTTCCTCAACCCTTTTTCCTATTCTTCTCCTGTTCGTATTTGATCCTACCCTCCTCTTGTCATTGTCTTCTCCTTCTCCCTCTGCTCATTCCCTTTTGCTACCCTTCTAGTCCCTGTCGTCAAAGAAGTTTGACTACCGACAGTTTGCCGCCATTCCTTCTTCCAAACCAGTGTACGACATCCAGGTATTGGCTGCATGCCTCTCCCCCGGCCTCCTCTCGCCCTCCCCTTTACTTTGTTAGTCGAGAGGCACCGTGTGACTGAGTACTCACAAAAGGGATCATACCAAATCATTCCTGGGTCTCCCTTTGAAGCAGGTCCCTTCACATCCTTCTACCTCTGCTGACTAACACGACGCCTGCTTTCATCCCACTAAACACAACCCGTTTTGGGGGAAATGGCCACTGACGTTGCATCTCATCCGCCCTCAAAATCACTTTCATCGGCTGTCTTGTCTCGCATATCGGTACAGTCTTCGTCAGAAATGAGAACAAACAAACAGAGATGGGAGCCGGGGCTCTTGGGGGTGCGGGAGCTTTGTTTTGGGTCAAGTATCTGGTCTCCTGTGGTTGTTGCGCTGTGAGCTCAGTTTGGTGGATGTAATTAAGTAGGATGATCCTCTGCTTGCAGGTCGTAATGGAGTTCCTCTTTAGGACGACAGAATATGCTGCTTGGTTTTTCCATGGTGCTGAACCCAGAACAGACAACCTAATATAACCTCCCTTTTCCTTAACCTGCTAATGTCTCCTGGGGGGGGTGTAGTAAGTCCAGTAGAGGAACTCTGCACTGTCTAAAGTGGCGGTGAGCTGCTGGGGTGATGGCCTCCCCGGGGACACGCTTATTCACTGGCTCTCCTTCTCTTCCAGACCCCCGACGCTGTCGAGGAGCTGCAGTTCATTGACGACGGCTCCAGCAACCCAGGTGAGAACTGGACTCATGCGGCACTAGAAACAGGCACGTTGTGGACAATCAGCAACGCATTCATTACCTCCATGTCTTTCTACCCCCTCTGATTCAGGGGACTACCTGGGATAAGCAGCTCCTAGTGGTAGGGTCCTGTGTGCATGTGTGAAGGGTGTCGGCTTGTGCATTGACTCTAACCTGCTGGTTGTGGGCTCAAGTATTAAGAGGCTTGTTCTTCACCTTCTGCCGGCCACCACGTGTGAAGCAGCAACTAATAAGGGAGATATTTGCGGTTTAAACCCCCACACTAACCTCGATATCGACCTTGCATGAATTTGTCTTCAGTCAATGCAAACTAGTGATTAATGTGTGAGTCCGTGTGTTTACATGAAGTAGTAAGCAGGTCCCCAATGTTCTAATGTTCGCGCAAATGGATCCATTAAGCGGTAAACGTTTCCTTCCAGTTAAACACTGAATCTTAAATAGAGGTGCAATGCGACTCGAATCCACAAATTCACTTAAGTTCAGATAAAGACATTCCAGCCGTAACTTTAATAGTTTGAATTCAGAGCGCCATTGGAGGGAGCTGGTTTAAATGTGCTGTCACTGACTGCTCCAGTTGTTTTGCTCCATTCCAGCTGTGATTGTGGGGCTTCTCTCTCAGATTTAAGGGATTGGTCCAGTTTCCTTCACCTTTCTTCTTCTCCACAGCTGCTGCCCATGTAGTGACATCTGTAAAAAAGCAGACCAACAGGAGGTTGATTTAAATGGTTTGTTGTTGTTGTTTAGCGGCCGCTGCGAGTCCAGATGTGCCTGCCACCTCGGCTCTGGAGGAGATGGCCCTGTACAGCAACAAGCGCAAACTGAGGCAGGGCCGCCGCAGCCTGGAGACCGCCGTGCCCACGTAACCGCCCACTGAGAGCAGGAAGCTGAAGACAAGGCGCCAGCACACACGTGTCTATCCAGACTCACTAAACACTACAGCGTGATTTACTTTCCGTATATAAAACCACTGCAGAGATCACACCTCGCTTATGTCCCGCGTGCCAGAGGGCCGTGGGGTTAGTTAGGGCTGCTACTTACAGACCTCTTAAAGATCTTTGTTGTTGTTAACTGTTCTCAAGTAGCTTATTTTCTTTTAAAAAGGGTGAACTAAGTTTTACATTTTTCACACCCCATTAATTTAGCTGTTTGAGAAAAAAAAAAAGAAGCATACTGGCAGCAAAACGAAATGGGTCATAGCTGTACTAACTTCTTGGATGTTTAGGCTTTCAGTGAATAGATGTCAGGGGTTTCTTGAGACTTGGGTAGACAGGAGTGTATATATTAATTGAGGAGGGAACATCCTGCTACCTTCACAGTCACATGTGGAGAGCTAAAAACAAACAAAACAATAGTACATATCATTGTTGCACTGCGTATATCTTAAATAATTTATTGTTTTTAGCATTTTATTCAAATTGAATTGCCTATTCTAACCCTTTCGGGCACAAAGAGCATGACTGATGCTGGTTTCCAATATATGTAGGAGTGTCATTTCCTCAAAGCTTTTAACTAATGAATATCATAGCATTTTATATGCAGACACTTTTCTAAAGAGAAACATATCTACACATTAGATTGCTTGGATTGAGTGCAGCCTTTATGAGCCACACCTGTAACGGATTGCAATACATTCCCCTGGGAGAGAATAGGACTACGCAGTTACACACATTTCATCAATATCTTTTAATTTACGGTACTTACCCTGTTAAGGGAATTATCTTTTACTTTATAATGTGAATTATTCAATTATATCCTTGAACTACCTGGAGGGGATGTGAAGGTAGCAGATGTTTCATTTTTCTGTCTATGGATAATTTAAATCTGACGCCACTGAAAAATGATTTACTTTTGTGTGAATAATGTGCAAACTTTAGGTGTGAGACTGAGCCAGTCTTTATTGAGACCAAGTGTCCAGACTGCTGACTCATCTGGTTTGAACTTGCTCGTATCGGGATGCTCTCTGCGTGTATATTGGTTTGTTAATGGGAGATGCAGAACCAATCAATCAGAATCCCTCTCAAGATGTTCTTATTCATACGGTCAGTTCACTTATTTGCTGGTTATTTTTGCAGAATCACAAGATTGTAGAATTTGTTAATTTAATGTAGGGTCTCCTAATGACAACTTTCTGTTACTCTTATTTGCTGATTTTTTTTTTACTTCCTGTAGGTAAATCTTTTCCAGATGGGTTTCACTACATTATTCATGCAATGTTTAAAGTGTTTATTCTCTTGGCTCAAGTTCTCTTTGGGGGAATTTATTTGCAAATAGTTTGGGGGGGGTAAGGGGTAGAGCTCATACAAGACTGTAACTAGTGAATTTGTACAACCAAAGAAGTCTATTTTGTGGTTCAGGAATAATAAAATTTACTTTTCATTTAAGAAGCTGATTCCCTGGGTAATGTCATTTGTGCACATATGAAACTCACCTTGCTAACTGGGAGGAAGTCTTCTCTGCAATGGAGTGGAGGATACTGCTCGAGTGTTCCTCTGGGGAAAGAATTTATGAATTCAATTTTCCAAGCATAAGCAATTGGTGGACATGAGTCGTTTAAAAAAAAACCAACAACTTTATATCAGATGAAACACCCTTGGCACCACGTTATTTGATAAATAAGCAGTCATCCGTTAAAGAGAACCCACCAGTTTCAGCATCCTGCAGCGGGCGTTGCAGAACGAGTGGAAGCTGTTCGGATCGAGCTCTGAAGGCCGCTGGTTATCCTTCCCCTAAGGTCAGCAAGGAAGCTGCTAACTCTTGGCCAAAGTTTATGAACAACCCCCCCAGTACATATCACACTACTGGATGTTAGTGGGACATAAATGAGTCATGGACCTGTTAAAAGTCTGTTTCATAAACTGTAGAGTAGCATTATTTTCTACATAGGAAATACAGGTTGTAAATCTGAGGCAGACTCACGTGTTCGAGGACTTTATCCGTAGTCACGTCCTCGGACACTAGGAAAGACTGCTCGCACCAGTTCTCAAATTCTGGGGGATAATTGAGCAATTTATAACTTTGAGCAGAAGAAGAAGAAAAGAGCATGTGAGAACTGACCAGTGAGCAGGCGCATTCTGCACTGATCCACAAGGTGCTGACAGTAGTTGACCTCTGCCTTGATCTCACGCAGCACCTGGTATCTCTGCCGGTACAAAACCTTCAGCTCCTTCAGCTGCATCAGTGAGGTGGGACCTGGCTCCTCCTCCGTGGCCACATATTGACCTTCATATATAATGTATTCAACTCGTTTATCTTTTGTCAGGACCCTCGATACAAAGCTACATTATGCAGAAAAGTACAACAGACTTTTACGAGAAAGTTATAAAGAATAATATAGTATGACATTCCACTTATTTACCATTGAGAACAAATCAAATCATCTACCACTTTTCCTAAATATGAAAATGAGAAGCACCTTCTCCCCCTCTCGTCTCCCTCTGCTGCTGCATGGACGCTGTGAAGCGGTCGATCTCTCTCTTGACGGCGTTGACCTCCTCAGATATCTGTCGCAGAAGACTGCGGCGTTCCAGCAGCACGCTCTTGTTCTCCTTCAGGATGCTGTTGATTTTGCTGCCTGGTCCCACTTTAAAATCCTCAAAGGCTTCTGCTTTGGGTCGAGTAGAACTGGGAAGAGACAGCACACGGTTCTAAAACACTGAACAATCCATTCTGAGCCATCCGTTCAAAAGGTAAGACTATTATTAAACACATACTCAAGATGGAAGGGTTCGTTGGCAGGAGCTTGTGATTGTGTGTCCGCGCTCTCCGTGTCCGGTTCAAGTGACTCCTCCGCCATCTGCACTGAATTCAGCTTTGGTTCGGAGCCACTCTCCGAGCCCTTCCTTGAGACTGGACTCGCCTCTTCCGGTCTCTTGCTTTGGCTGGACAATCACAAAGTGTGTGCATTAAAATTAAACTAATAACTGGACTCAGATGAGCTTTTATTTGATCATCCATCTGCTACATTTTGTCTAACGTTCTTATCTTCATTTGAATAAAATGTGAATGTTTTTGTCAAACCTGTCATTTTTGTATTTATTACTATTAATTTGTCTTACTTCCTATTACTTCTATTCACAAAGATTAAACCAAGGTGCTTTTGTGGGATGCTAATAAGAACTCTGATGTTGCCATGGAGCCCTTTAGTTAGCCGTTTGGGAAATAACGTGTTCGATCTTGACCCACCTCGGTTTGTCCTTAGACTTCTTAGTTTTGGCTGAACTCGGCCGCTGGGTGTTTTTCTGTGACGCCGTGGACGCCTCAAAGCTGCCGTCCTCCACGCTGCCCCACTCCTTAAGAGTTCACAGAGCGACATTTGATCAATCACGTCAGTAGAACAATAGACTAGTAGAAGCAGACTGCTCATTTCCACATGTAGAACCACCTTGGTGCCGGCTGTTTTAGCACTTTGGTCTTTCTCAGAGTTGTAGGTCTGGCTTATCGGAGACTTCCCCTTCTCCTCCGGTTTCCTGCTCACATACATTCACTTTTACAAATAAAGCCATACTCCAATTCTGTTTCCAGAAAAGTCACTGTAGTTTAAGTAAAAGGTGGATGCTACTTACTGCACAGCAAGTTTGAACTGAGCAAACACTGCTTGGACCTGCCTGATACTTACAATCTGTAAATAGATGGAGAGAATTTTAACACCTTAAAAAGAGAAAGTTTTAATGGCACGGTAAGTATTATGTCAGTGTTATTTTCTCACACTGATTTCCTCCAAGGTACCAGCAAGGTACCTCTGAACCTGGCTGTTGATCTCAGCCAGCTGGGCTTCAGACAACATGGAGCTCGGTCGGTTTGCCTGGTGGAGGATGAATAATGAGTAGGTACCTTTGAATGTGCACTCGCTAATATATATATTTTTTTAATGCCAAAATTGACATCAGAGGGCAGATCAGTGATACAGTGGACTATAACAGACTACACATTACATATGAATAACTTCAATGCCCAAACTTTTGACTGGGACTCATAGAACACATTTTCCTGCTAGTTCTACTCACCAATTTGTTACAGATAGACAGCTCTTCCTTCAGCATTTTTACTTCCTTCTTAAGTTTCTTGATCTGGGCCTAAATCACAACAGTTCATTTATTAAATCACCCAGTTTTCCGACGACTGGCAGAGAATAGACTAAAATGCAGACTGTAAATCAGAATGCGTGTTGTCACCCATGTATGCCCTCACTGAGAAGACGTGTGGTATGTGAACTCACTTCTGGACTGCTGCATTCATTAACAGCAGGATTTGTTCGGACACACTTCATTCTGCTGGCAAAACGCAGTGTAGAGAGCTGCAAAGAAGGATGATGATTATTATCCACAGCTGAATAGAGACTACGTGCAGGAGGAAAGAGGCTGCTTTTTGATATACAAACACGTGCGCCACTGCGTACCGTTTCTTCTATCTGTGCAGCCTCACCATAGATGTTGGCCACAAGCACGGTGTTGCAGTTCCCCCCTACAGATACAGTGCAGGCAAACATAACTACGGTGTCATTTACATGAACCGAAACAGAGAAAATGAGCATTTCAATATAAGCTATTGCCGTCATAAATAAAACCAAGGACGTGGCAGCATCACCCAGTGAGTCTTTGAGGGCGTGAGTCAGTTTCGTCTGTCTGAAGGGAACGTGGTCTCTGCGGCGGTCTGCCAGGGCCAAGATGGCCTGCTCCAGGAAAGACAGGGACTTGTTGATATACATCGCTTCCTTGAAGATTTGACCCGCTGACTGAAGGAAGGGTCAGATGTGGAAATGAAGAAGGAAAAAGTTAATGTTACATGAGAAATGCATATTAAAAATAATAAATTAACAAACATTGAAATAGAGGTCAGACATTGTCAAACTCACCCCAGTCTTTCCCACCCTCTCAGACCCGGCCAAATCTACCAGATTCAGCTTGGAGGTGACGTACTTGTCATCACACAGAGTACGTGAGCGAGACTGCAGTCAAGAAAGACATTTTCTCATACTAGAAACTGCATGCAGGAAAAGTCATGTTTGAACACCAACACAAAAAAAAAGAAGGTAATTATACCTCTATATGCAGAGTGAAGATAGAGTGGGACCTGGAGGAGTTCCTGTTCAAGGCATGTGATCCAATCATTTGGTTCAACCCCCCCTGAGTAAAGAAAGAGCATTTGCCGTCACATTTTAAAATCATTCATCCAAAAATAGAAAAACTAAAAAAAAAGGACATTAAGTTGACAAAGAAATACGAAAAAAACATTTCTCAATAAAAAATGGGCAAAACGTCTGGTTGAATTTTCTCCTGCGGGATAAGAAGTAATGAGTGTGGCTCTCTATGGAAACACCAGCTTTGTAACAGGTGTAAGCATTAACACAGCTCTGTATTCTGCGCTTCAAGTCAATAATGATTGGATTTTAATGTTTACGTGAATTCATTCTTGAATTAGGTTTTCACAGCTGTAAACATCAGGCCACACCTCAAACAGCAGGTTGAGAGCCTCCTCCTCACTGTGGACAGGGTGAAGGGACAGGCCCCTGATGAACACCCCCCTTCCTGGCTCCTCCGTCACCACCATGCCACGAGGAGACGAGCGGGGGGAGCTTTGCAGCGATGACAACAGGTCCACCAGGGTCTCATTGTAGATCTCCAGGTAGGACAAGTGCACAGAGAAGAAGTGCGCTGTCCTTTTCTCCACCTCCCGAAACACCTGTATAACATATTGGAGACTTAATTTAGAACGAAAGAGACACTTAATGGAGCGGTTAACATGATGCAAGATACCTCCTGAAGGGCCCGAGGAATGACACCACGCTGCTTGTAGGATTCTGTAGATCCTGTCATGGTGTAGGTCTTTCCTGCACCGGTCTGCCCAAAGCACATCAGAGTTCCTGAAAACCACACAACAAAAGACACTTCAAACCAAACAATCAGACTAGACACTTTCATTAATATCATCTCAGGAAGTTGGGCCCTTTTAGAGGCTGCGATAGTCACGGGACCAGAGAGAAGAAAAGCACTGTAGGTTTGACGCCAATACATGGTTGAATATGCTGATCTGGTATTAGCACTTGAAAACACACCGTTGGGTTTATAGTTATAAAGATCTACCATTATAGCCATCCAGTGCTCCCAGTACCACGCGTTGGCACACTCGGGCATACACCTCCTCCTGGGATACATCCCGCAGGACGCCGTCCAGTCGGAAAGACCAGTAGACCAGTTGATCTCTCTTGGTGTCCTGGGGCTTCTTGGGGTCTTTCCTTTGATGGACGTTCACCGTCTGACGGACAATACACAACTAAGTTTGGAACTCAGCAAATTCTGGTGCACAGCAAACATCAGAATTATTGCCAAGCACAAAAGTGAATGATTACTTTTTATTTAAAAATGTCAAATTGTTTCCACTTTTGTCGTGCAACGTTCCAGGACTAAAATATTATATAGTATCCGAAATGTAAGTTAATACAAAGTTGTATACTTTATAGTACCTATATTTTAATTTATGAGATATTCTTAATTATATATGGAGACAAGTCAAACAGACATATCTGGCAAAGATTAGTGATTATGGATATGGACTTGATACCGTTTGAATACTTGTATAAGTAAGTTTAAGGTCAGAACGTCCTAGACAATGAATAGTAAGATAATGTATCCATATATATATAATCTCTTAATTAAAATAGTCATACAAAATATTCAACGGGTAATACCGTAAAGTGATAACCAACATTAGGTGGCATAAACAAATGGAAATCATAGTCTTCGTGGAGGAATAACAGGGCTGATGTATCAAACTGCATTACTTTTAAATAAGCACAGCCACCAAAGAGAAGCTTTACCCCTTGTTAGAAAGATAAAAGATAAAACAGCTCTACTGGTTAGAAAGATAAAACATAAACCAGCTCTACTGGTTAGCAACATAAAACTCAGTACATGAATGATGGTTCCAGTCCATTGCAGCTCCTCGCAGCGGAGGTCAGATGTCCAGTGTTCGTTGGCTAAACGGAGCGCAGCTGTCAATCATTTGGCTGATTGAGCGCACCTGTGTCTCTACCCGTTAAGCTAACGTTACCCGATTGCGTCAAATTGTGCCAACAACTCGATTCACGCGGTTTTATACTAACTTAGCTTCGACGAACGTGTCCGAAAACATTCGTACTCGCAAGCGGGATATTAAACATTAAAAGTTCGCCGACGAAAACGGAAGCTGCGTCTAATTCACCGTTAAAAAAATAAGTTAAAACTTGGCGACGCTTTTCTCTGCGGCTCGTCTACGTCGCGTTGCTCCAACCGAACAGCGACCACCGGCGGCGCGCGCCGTTACCTGTCCGTCGGGGAGGCATTCGATGAGGTCCGGGGAGAAGTTGGCCGTTGGTCGGATGCGGACAAACACACCGACCTCCCCGCTGTGAGCCTTCATGCCGCTTTTACCAGAAACGCGACGGCAGCAGAAGTCGAGTGGACCGACTCTCAACCGGCGACAGCTTTCTCTCCGCTGGCGTCCATCTTCGCTGCTCGCCGCCTGAAGTTTCCTTTCGGCGTCATGGCAACCATCGGGAGCGCGCACGCAGAATGCAAAGCGGCAGAGCCGGCGCGCACGGGACCACCTGACCTAACTTTTAATAACAATAATTAGTGCCCGAGCAACTTTTTTTCGTGACATTTTTTTTTGTACTAATCTATTTTGACAATTACAAAAAAACATGTTTTTCCCACTGCCTTTTTTTGTGGTTCAGTTCTCACAAAACCAACTGTGTGAAAGGTGAATATTGCTAGATTTACTGCTCTCAAAAGGTATGGAAACAAAAATATAACTGAATCTACAAAGATATGTAGTTTTTGTTGAATCTATAACTCTGAATTAATTCTCATTTGAAAAATGTTTTTCACTTACATTTTGTTATGAAATAGGTCAGCATTATGCAACATCTGTGTTTGATATCCAATGTCCACGTCCTTACTGTCCAAACAGTTATGTCCTTGGAAGAGAATTGTTTTTCAAATTTCAGTGACCAAACTGGAGCTAGAAAGACCGTGTACCCGGTCGGGTTTGACACCAGCTCTTCAACAGTGGATACTGTATATGGGAGAAAGTCATTTCGCCCTTTTCCATTGCATGAAATAAGTCAAAGTGTGGAGATTGTTAAATATTCTTGGTAATGGTGTCCCCTACTTTGGACACTTTGATTTGTTTCTATAAAACATATTTCGGGTTCAGTCATGCCGCATGAGAAATACATTTAGCTTCCCCTTCAGAAGTGAGTTGTCTTGCATTATGTATTTCTATTGTGATACTTTAAAGATCCCAGGAAGAATTTTTTTGTGTTGTCTGCGAGTTTCCAATAAACATTTAGTTTAGTAACTTGTGAGGTCTTTATTAGAACAAAACAAACAAATAGACCCAATTTACCAATAGATAAATATACATTTGAAATCAAAAGGTCAACAAATAGATCCAAAAAATCTCAGGTAAAGGTAAAAAAAAAAGTTGGATCTAGTAACTAAACTGACACAAAACATACAAGAACAGGCTCCACCTACTGACATGGAGACTATAAAGCTGCTGTATCAGCGGACGATCAGCAGCTAATCCGTGTTCAAAATGAGAGGCCTAACATTGCTCTGTCTGTGGGGATTATTTCTCACAGCATCAACTGTGGTGAGTTAAAACGGGTGATTTCCCCTAGACTCTTATCTAAAAAAAGAAAGAATGAAAATTACATAATGTTAGCCTTTATTTCAGCAGCATCAACAAGAACTGGTGTTGTATGATTGGAGATAATGTGGAAAAGGAAACATTTGATTGAAATTTCATGGGACAATTTTTCATTTTGTTGCAATAGCTTAACTGTTACTTACAATGCCACAAGTATGTGAGACGAGACAGCGGCAAAGATTACATGATTATGACCCAATTAATATTTGTTTGATTTACTTACTTCTTCCTAGCCAATACTAAGTTTAATATAACCAAACTAAGTGTTCAAATCAATGAACTATGAACATTAAACTAATATATTCAATATTTCAATTGACAGATTGTACTGTATAATCACTGTCAAATATTCTAACACTATAAATTAAGTTACAATAATATTTAATTATTTGATTGAAATTATAATTATAATAGCATTTCAATGGTTCCTTATTCATATTGATACCACTCTCGTGTATAGAAAAAGATGTGAAAGAAAGAATCCAACTAATACGTATAGAGGCCTACAGCATGCGTCATTCTGCTGCTCTTTCTATCAATTCTTGTGTGTTTTTGAAATCCAAAGTCAATGTCCTTTGCAAACATTTGGGCAAACGGATACAAAGTAAACACTATCATGTCCTTGGACTAAATCCTTTTCAACTGTCATTTTCAGTGGCCACCAGGAGGTCAAACGCCCATGAGCGGCCCCTTGTTTCTTAACATCACAGCCAACACATCAACGGTGGGTAGTTTCAGTGGGAGCAAGTTATCTCCTCAGAGAGGTTTTTGTATGTGAAAATATGGGTTGCTTGCATACGGTATGATTTGTTTAAGGGAAACTTGTTCTCCAACTCAAACAAAAAAACAAGGGGAGGGAAACTGCAGAGTCGGAAACAGATTTAGTACAAACAATTCTATTTATATCTCATGTTATAAGAGAAGATTAGGCACTTTAAAAAAAGAAATATATAGATTTTTTTACAGTATTTTAGTAAGTGCAATGCCTTTTCATTTCAGGAACAAGTGGAGCGCAGTTCAAATAATACAAGTTCAGAGGTATGTAGACTTTCCTAGTGATTAAACGTCTGAACATAAGCTTTCGATTTCATGAATGAATGTATGAAACTTACACCACTGTAAAGTGTTGCTGATTCATTTCCCCGTTAGGCGACAGCTACTGCACTGCCAGTTGAAAGTACTCATGAGTTAACACCGCCTAAGGATGGAGAGGACAGCCAGGTAAGAAACCGTTCAAAACTGAAGGAAAACTATATAAATAAATACCACTCTTATATTTATCATTGGATGTTTCATTAGGAAATGACATTAATAATATCATGATACACTGATATGAGTTCAGCCTACATGTGTTTTTAAAAGAGGGTGGGGTAATTAACTCCAGATAATTACAAATGATTCCAGGGAAAAACACAAAAATGAAAGATGTAGCACATAATGCTCAACTCAACAAATCCAGAGACCGAGGAATAAGAGGAAATAAGGAATAAATCCTTAAACATTTCATCAAAACTATTACATGAAAATGTCCTTTAGTTTCCTAATATGATGGTCTTCAACCTTTGGGGTCTGGAAACATTAGTTCAATTTAAATAATTCATATAGCATTTGAAAAGAAATGACAACTCTGACTAAATGAAACTTCATCAAATAAATAGACCTGTTGCAGAGTCCCAAGAGAGGCCAACATTTGCTTTTGATCCCCCAGTTTAAAGATTAAGAAATGACATTTTTCTCAACGATCACTTTAGTTGAATAAGTTATTTTTTTTTCAGTCCAGTAGAGCTGAAACAAGGATTAAATGATCAAAGGAAAAATAATCTCTCTCTACGGTGTTGATCATTTAAGTTATCCCTCAATCAAAAATCCTTAATATTGGAAATTGTTCAGGATATTATATTTATATATTATATATATTATATCATTCTACAGACAAATTGATTAGTCAGTTTTTTTTGTGTGGGTAAGCGATTTCGCATTCGCAAACAAATATGCCAAGTTGGACTTTAACATAGAATTAACCTAAATCAGTCACCAGATTGTGTAATAGAGTCCACCTACGGACATGGTCACTGTAAATCAGGTGTTTGAGTAGAAAGGAAGCTGATTCAGGATCCAGATGAGAGGATTTAAACTGCTGTGTTGGGCGGGATTCATTCTCGTAGCCTCTGTAAGACCTCGTGGCTTTCCCCAAATGTACTGAAACAGGAAATCAGAATTTATTATGCAGCATTCATCATACTGCTGTTATTTCTAGGAATTTGGTTTATTGATTATGTTTCTGCTTTGTTAGAAAACTTGTGTGAATGACCTTGCAAAATCAAAAACGACAAAACTCAGAAAATAATCCAAATATTATGGAAACGCTAACAGTTATTCTATTTCTTTTAAATTTCAGTTGCCTAAAGAACACCCGGTGCAGAACTTACAAGAAAGAAAAGCACAAAAGGTAGGTGGAAAAGATCACTGAAGGAGCAGTAATCAGTGAGATAGTATAGACATTGCATAATTTTTCTGCTATATTGTTAGTTGGCATCACTGCGTCGATACATAAACATTTGGACTTTTATTGTACCTCAATATTTTTATAAATGATTTCATCTGTAGGTTTTTTACCATTTAAAGGCAAAACCGAGACCGGTGAAATATTTCACTTTGAAGCTGTTGTGCAGTTCAGTTTTTCAGATATTTATTTTATGGTTTAACACTGTAAAACAGCAGCAGCAACGTTCATGAAAGTAGCATGACGTAACGTTATATGCCCGGGCGGTGCCTTAAACTATAATTGTTCTACTGGAGCTGGATAAAATAAGTCTTGATATTTCTTTAGTTAGGTAACATTACCTCCATCCATCAAACGTTGTATGGGTCCATTCCTTTCACTGGCTATTCATTCTATTGCCTGGAACGAGGGGGGAAATGAAGTTTACTTTTTAAATGTTTCCTCTCTGAAGTCAGCAGCGGAAGCTACAGACAGAAGCATCCAGTGTTAATGCTACAGGTAACCATGACAACGAATGCGGCTGCAGCTAAACCTCTAACTTGTTGAGAAGCTCAAAAACACAATAGTAATTTGCGGTTACATACCCAAAGCTGGCTAGCGAAAGCTTTCAAGTTTTCAGCAGGTAACGCTATTTGTCACTAGTTACCTGAACGCGGGACTTTGGGGGCGGTTGTCACCTCCAGCTGAAGAGTTAGCTAGCTAGCTAGCATCAATATCAGCTCCAGAATCAATGCCGCTCAGACTTACCGCTACTTTCGCCACTTCGCAGTTTTTCTACCGTAGATCTGGTAAAACCGGTTCTCCCGGTGTTATTGTTGACGACGGCAGTCTCGCTCTGTCGGTATGAAAAGGTCGCCGTCGGTCAGGCCCACGGACCGCGGTCAGCCCGCCATTAAAGACCATCGGTCAACCGGAACGGACGTCGCGAGGATTCGTTCGCTGCAGCGCCACCTCGTGGCCGGCGAGAGTAATAGCGTATTGCAAATCGATTTATCAGAAAAGGGGAACTAAAATAGAATGGAATACTCTGTCACAAGTCTTTTTTGTTTTACTCAAGAACCGTTTTTGGTATTAAATGATATCACACAGAAACCTACCCGGCGCAATGGACGTTGGCACCCTCTTGTTAGCAACGTGGGTTTCCCTGCGAGCCCAGAAGACGGAGAAAATACGGTAAGAAAACCGTTCAGCACGAACCCGGATTATGGTTTGTGATTTTTAAAAATGTGTTGTCCCATCTTTTCAGAAGCCGTAATGAAGACTGACAGACGAACAGATTTTTTTTTTTTAAAGAACCAAAAAGCATTTTGTTGGTCTCCTTCAAATAAACATTTCAAGTCTTGTGTGTGTGAGAAAAAAAGTTTTATTTGTTAATATGCGTGGTATAAGGTCATTTGAAACGCCTACCATTTCCAAACTTTTGATCATTTTTCCACGACTTGTCAAAATGAGACACATGAGACAATTTAGTAAGTAATAATGGGAGGGACTGCAAGTTAAGACAGGTCTTAAGTTTACAAAAAGGACACCACCTTTTCTGCAAGATAAAGAAAGACACCGTATACAGTAAATCCCCTTTTCAACATTTAAAGATTCAGACAAGACTTCAAATCACAAGGATCACTTTATTTTTTGTGTTCGGCTCTTCTCTTTTAATTCACAAATATTATCTACGTCCACCCAAAAAGTGTTCCAGCAGGGATCATCTCTCCCTGACATCTTTTATAGAAATGACAGGAACAGAACATAAATCAAGTTCTTTACCTTTCTAAACATAACTAAGCTTGCAGTAAAAACCCTTTTGATATCTAACTTGGCAAACGTGTTGTAAGTGAATAGTACTCTGTTGGTTTGGTGACAGTATGTTTTTACCGTAACTCTAGAAATGAAGTCACACACAACCACTTGTTCTACAAAACTGCAATGAGGTCTGACACAGCATGTATACTCATGAGGAAAGCCTTGATTAAAAAACAGAAGTCTTAAAACTGAGATCGAAATGTAGCACTTAAATACTAAAAGTTGTGAGCTCAGTAGGCAAAACCAAAAAATATATATATATATTTTTAAGTGGTTGGTCGTTCTTTGATACTTGTAACATCTTTGACCAGCTGGTGTCAAACCACGGTAAACAAATGTTGGGCAAAAAAATAAAAATGAATGTTTGACAGAAACCGGTTTTAATTGCTATTTATCTGATGTCTGAAAATACCAAAATGAAGCAAGGACAAGAAAATCCAAACGGTGGATTTAAAAGACAGTGGGTCATGGCAATCACCAGGCAAACTACAACAGCACTACATTCTTGAACAGAAGGATTATTTTTCATTCGTATATGGTTTGGTGACACCAAGTGTTGAGATCCAGAAGACAACAAAGTTCTCATCAGATGACAAAGCAGTTTTTATCAGTAAGGTCACTTTGTATAGAAATTCTGAATGGAGGACCACAACCTATCGCTTCTTGGCCATAGATCATAGAGTGTTATCATCATCGTCATCATCATCAAGGGAAACAAACAAAGCTTCAAGTTTCTAAAATTAAAGAGCCTGATGGCCGGCTTGTATATGCGAGGGGATGGGATGGAGGCTGGTGTTTGCCCCATTCACCACCATGGCAAAAGAAAAAAGCTCAATCCACGTAGTCAGCTATGCTGCTGTGGCAACATCCCAGAAGCTCTCCACCACAACTCAAAAACACACCCCAAAATACCATGTGCGATTGGGTCATAACGATCTTGCAAAAAAATAGATATTTTCACAGAAGTTTGTAAAATCATCTCGCCTGACGTTATCTTCTGTGGCTTTATCAAAGCAAGTAGAAGTCCAGAGAAGAGCTGCGCCACACAACTGCTGCTCCGAGTACAATCCACAAAGTCTGTTGTTGCTGCCGAAGTTTTGTACTTTTGGGTGTATTTTTGCCATTTCCTTGTCAAATATTCCTTTGTCAACTGCCCCTTCAGATGCAGTCCTTCAGTTTTGCCAACCAATGTCTGTAAAGTGTGTAACTTTTGATTTAAAGGGAGCTTCACTGTATGTGGTGTGTATGTGAGCGTATGTATATGAGGCTGTGTGTGTGCGGAAGTGTGTGTGTGTGTGACCAGTGTGGTGATGGTGGCAAGGTGAGCTCCGTCAGGACTGCAGCCAACATAGCTGGAGTTCAGCTCCCTCCGAGGGGCCGGGCAGGACCTTGCTGGAGGGGCCAGAGGATGGTGGGGAGCGCCTCTACTTGTCCCCCAGGATGGCGTACTGGTTGTCAAGCTGCAATTGCTGCATAGAGGTGGTACCGCCGGTCTCCTCTCTACCACGGTTCCTGTGTTTCACCACCTCAAAGGTCTTCTCCATTTCTCGGTCCCTGAAACATGGACAAGAATTACTCAAAACTACCTACAACAAAACATGTACACAGCCGTGTTTAACCAGAAACAATCACTGAACTCTACCTACTTGCGTGTCTCCACATGCTTGGAGGTGGCCATTAGTGAGGGGAACTGTGTGTCACTGAAGATCTCAGGAGGCCCCTGGGTGGGGCCTCGTCTGGTAGTGGTCAGCCGAGCCCCTGGAGGGCGATATACACCAGAAGGCTTCGACTCAGGCTCCTCTACCTCCTCTGGAATTATAAAAATCACACCAGTTTGAAAGAATTCTCTCCCATTATGTTTACAACAGCTTTAATGTCTAATACATATGAGCCATGTGCTTATTACATGGCGTGGGTAGAAAAGCCAACAGGGGTATACTTAATGACCAGTGGTGTGATCATCCCGACTACTAATTCCTGACGCCTTAAAACACGCGTGTTGAAGTCAGTTTGCTCACCGACAGGTGGTGGTGCAGCAGCAGCAGGAACCGGAGCAGCACCAGACTTGTTCCAGGGACCTGACACCTTGTCTCCACTGACCAGAATGATCTCTCCATCCTCACCAACCTCCTCCTTCTCATACCCCTCCTCCTCCTCCTTCTCGTCACTGCAAACAGCCAAAAGTCAGTTGAGCTGAGCCCATCATGAGCCACTTAGGAAGCTTTTTATTTTCTTCAAGTTTAGTTTCCCCAGAGATTGACTTGTAAACTGCGTTGATTCATTATTTAATTTGAGTGCACATTTAATATTTTTGCATTAAAATCTCTAACATATTATGTAAGTACTAACAAAGTCTGTGAAAGAGTTCTTAAAAAGCAAAAAATAACATTCAGTTTAACTTCAGTGAAGTCCACAGACAATATACATGAGATTGTATGACATCCGAAGAATTAACCATAGTACTGCAGTTTTATTATAGCTTGATATTTGGGCGTAATTGCCTTTTCATCACGTACACAGTCATGACAACCACAGACATATTTCTCACCTTATTTGCAGAGCTTGGAGCCGCAGCCCGCTGTAGTCAACTTCTTTCTGCTCAAACTCTTTCCATTCCTCATCCTCCTGGACAGAAGGAAGCATTAAATCTCAAATCACAACAGCATGTCTACATTGACAGCATTGCGATGGCGAATACAAATCTAGCTCTTCCTCGCTGAGACATCTCAATTTTAGTCACTATACACCCAGGAAATTGTAGAAGGAAAAAAAAAATGTTTGGGTCAAAAGTTACCAAGCAGAATTACAAAATTAAAAAAGGAAAATGAGCCTTGTCACACAATCATATTCGGTCACATGAAGACGAGACTGTGAACCCCCCTGAAACTTGTGACAAATGGCGGCTCGGCCTAACGTGAACGTTTCGTTGAACAGCCACGATTCGGAGGGATGACAGCCTCGTCATGCACACGCGAGGCCTCGAACGGCACGAGTTAACAACCGGGCCTCGAACGTTTAACGTAAGTAACCGACACCGTTGACACACAAGGGAAGAGAGGACTTTACAAAATAGGAGGAGCACGGCGCCTGAGTAACAATGCTAACCGTTAACTCCTCTGAATGTGCGCCTGTGGGAACCATATGCTAGCTAGCAACCGGCGTTTCCCCCCCCCCCCAACATGTCAAAATGTAGATTAAGCACTCCATCTTCCTCCGTTTATTGGTGGAAACACGAAAGAAAGCGGGATAAAAACCCGAGCAGGAAGCAGATTAATGACGAGGGATGCAGCATTTGACACGACACCGGTAACTGGAAAAGACGCTGACATTTTTTTTAAAAGTTACCCGGAGAGTAACGATAGCAGTTACCTTTTCAATCTGCGCGTCTTGATTGTCGTTTTTGGTGGATTTTTCCTTTTCCCGCTTGGTCTTTTTAATCACGGCCGTTGTGAGGCCGACGACGGGCTCTTTGCTCTTTCCCTTTTCTTTCTTCTTCTTTTTATCCCGCTTGGCGAAGAAATCGTCCAGGCTCTTCTCCGGTGGTAGGTCCGCCATTTTCAAAGAGCAACGTTAAACTCGTGAGCTAACCGAGCAATGACAAATGTGAATAACTTCTCTACGGAAGAGGGGCAGCTGCTCAACGGGAAAGAAAAGATGGACTCACTCCTTTATCTGAACGTTTGACTTATGTTGCTGGCTGATAAAAATGTCCACCCAATCGAAGGCAATCCTGACAACCATGCCATGCACGGGCTATTTGACAAATCTGTACGGTAACCCGGAAGAGCATCGTCCCTGAACCGGAAGTAGTAGGAGTCGGAAAAATGTGACACACCATTAAAACTTGTTCTTATATTATTTACTGATATTCAAAATATTAAAGGAAAACTATATTGAATTACATTTAAAATTATTTTAAAACTTTGATCACTTTTCTTCTGGTTCAGATACAGTAACAACCTATTTTAGCTATATATTTGTATTTACTAGTAGTTTTGAGTCTATTTCATGTAGATATGATTTTGAAAAATAAATTCTATTCTGAGATGACTTTTACAAAACAAAGCTCTTAAGGGAAATATCATACAGTAAACAAAGCCAACATGAAAATGCCCCCATTCAGTTTGTTGTTTTTTTCTGTTAATTTTGTCATTTTTAAGCGTATTTTACTGCTTATTTATTATAATTGTTTTAATCTCGTTGTTTATAATGCCTTTGTTTGCTACTGTAATCCTGTGAATTTCCCAACTGCAGAACTAATAAAGGATTACCTTATTTTATCGTATCTTATCATAATCATCATGTGGACTGGGGATAACATCAAACAATGTTTTTAAAGAAACTTTAAACTCCTGCTTGCATATTAATTAAACTTGCCAAACAGTATGAGGCCGGTCATGCAGGGACTAAAAACACGAAAGTCGTGTTTTGTAAGATTTGAACATTTCATTTCAAAAAACATTTCAGCTCAATAACACTCACATCAAATTAAGCCTCTCCTGACGGGAGTAAACATATTATTGAACTGACTTCACATTCCCAGGGCTGGGGGTCACTTGACCACTTGCAACACTGGTACACAAAGAGAAAAATTCCAGCTCACAACAATGGATGTGCTGTGGTCGGCAGGACTGTTTATATAGCTTTGTTATATAATAAATCAGAAAGAAATTTCTCTAAAACGTTAAAGATTTGAAAAAGGTGGACTTTGTGTTATGAATCCATCTGCCATTGGTTTATGAGCACATGTCTGTTGATTGAAGAAAAATAAAATCAATGTTTTTTCTTTGTTTTATTGCTCAGCAGTAAAAAGTACAGTGTATACTACAGTACAAAAAATACATAATGTTGAACACTGCTCCATCGTGCCACTGAACGTTTTGTAAAATATCCACTTTTGAGCGTGCAAAACAAGAAGCCCAGCTGTGAGCATCCAATGCAGGAAATATCAATATGTGTTATTAAACATTACCTTTTGAATCTGTGGTTTCAGAACAACATCTCACATAGCAGGAACATCTTTAGCGACATTTTAGGCAGGCAGCATTGATTATTGAATACAACTGCAGCGATGCAAAATAAAAACAGGTGATAGAAGGACAGCAGGGTCAATAATTAATCAAAATATGCACTCTTTTTTAAACGGAACTGCCTTTTTATGTTCTCACAGCAAATATTCAGCATACATCTCTGCGTTTCAATTGGTCGATATTTTTGACAGCCTCTAAAACGTAATACGTAGTCCGGAAACTAATTCAAAATCTTTTAACAAACACAGTTTGCATTGATGGACAAACACATTGTTTATGGAGGGAGACATTTACAATAGCAACGTTGGTCTAATCGTTTTCTAGAGTGCTGAGAAACTCTTTCTTGCGCTGGGCTAAAACCAGTCGCCACTCCACGACACAGACAAGAGACGAAAAGACAGACACGCACAGAGCAACAGATAAAACTGAGCTGAAAGAGATGCAAAGCCTTGTTTGCCTTAAAGCCTTAATGTAAGAAGGGGGGGGGGCTCGTCCATCCACATTCTGGACGCACATTCTGATACACATAGACATCTATGCGGTCCCTCTCGAGAGAAGCTGGCGATACACGTTCGGGAAAGCCACTTTTACTCATTTGACTGACACCTCTCCAAGTTGCTAAATGGAGACGACAAATCACTGAAATAATTGGCCCAAATCAACCATGGAAATAAGGGCTTATCAAACTGCTAAAAGCTACATTTTGAGCTCATCCTTCACTTACATTTGCAACATAAGAAGAGAAGCTATTTATCATTAAATACTATTCATCTCTGAGAACTCAAGAGGTATAACTCAAGAATAAGCTGGCGTTGCGATCTCTTTACATGCATTAGAACCATTTTTTGTATACAGATCTACAAATGCGTAGAGTTACTTTAATTATTACTTTGATACTATTAATATATTCTTGTTGTATATTTTAAGTATGCAGTCAAATGTAACGTAACAATGAACAATGGGGCAGATGTATGGTAGCTTTCATGTGAAGAATGATGATCTTAAAGGTTACTCCTACACTTTGCTTTTTAGATTCTTGGCTTCTAGAAGGACTCTTTTACTCATAAGTTTGCTCTGTAAATCGTTCTTGCGTTTCTCGGTTTGATAGATATGGGCCTTGATCTCACGTACCACTGCCCCCCTCCCCACCCCCCAAAAAAAGGTAGGGGCGATATTTCAAGGTCAACAGGCTATAAGTATTTTAGGATTGATCTTACAGGCAAAATAAAGTGAAAAAAAACAACAGCTTTAATGTTTCCGTAGCACGTTTCTCTCGCTAAAGCAAAATTTCTTGTGGCAGCGTCCACAGCGCGCCAGTTTAATGAACCAAAACCACATATAATCTGTATTTTATAAAGACAATAAAAACCTTTTTATCACAATTAAGCCTTCTGTAGAAAATGTACATCAGAAAAATATGCATGTGCATCCTCAAAGAGTGTCTGTTTGCGTCGCTGCTCTTTCAGGTTGCCTCTTAGTGTTTGTCATGTTCAGTATAAAGTCAACGTTTCTGAATATTTAGCACATTTATAAAATAGACAGCAACAGCAGGGGGAGTAGAAGAGGAGACTCCGACGGCGTCTCTCTTTTTTTTCCTGTCTCTAGATGGCAGAAGCTTTGTCTCTGTTGATGAAGAGCGTCTCCTGGCAGAAGGGGTTAACCAGGACCACGCTGCTGCCGCTGTAGTCTCCGTTGGGGGGCAGGCAGCTGTCTTGATCCTGCAAACGCAGAAAAAAATAAAATCAAGGCAGGGCACAATAGGTGTGACTCATGGCTTCACGCTTCGGGGGGCTCGGGACACGCACGCTGTAGCCGAACTGCGTCCACGTCCCTCTATGGGGCAGTGAGCAGACCATCTAGTGACGAAGCAAACGGAATAAATATGGGCTTGGGGCAGAGCGAGGCTTTTAAAGGAGACGGCGGACAAAGATACCCGACAGAGCTGGATGAACGGGGATGTAAAAGGGAGGGATGACTCAGAGGAAACAAGACAACAGGGGGACAGACAGATGTTGAAATGGGTGTTGGCGGTGAGTCGGCTTCAGCAGTAAGCAGGCAGTGCTGGAGGAGGGAGGTATGAAAACAATATTTCAACTATTATCACCAATCGGGTCTTTTTTTATGTGTTAGGATCACGTCTCCTGGAGCACTTGTCGTTTACTTGAATCCCCGGGAGAAGCTAAGAGGCTGCTGCTCTACACGGACAGGTGAAGCAGGAGGAGAAGAAACAACACCTGGGTGTCACCAGGGGCATCGCACGCATGATCCAAACTCAGCCTCCCCCTCCTGGTGCGCCCGCAGGCGGCAAAGGCATGCAAATTGAGCAATGGATGAGGAGTAAAAGAAAGGAGAAACACAGTGAAATGGTCACCGGAGGGACGGTGATAAAGAATACATGCAAACAGAGAAAAGCACCGGTCAATGAGAATGATATAGGGAAGAACAGGGAGGTGGATGTGCCATCTGCAGATATACAGTGATGGATTATGCGAGGTTCTGTTTCCACCAGATGGCGCTGTAATGCACTAAAAACCCACATCCTATTTTGATATTTTTCTCAATATATCAGAGACCAAACATCATTGGAAAATGGGAGGCATAAAAAATAAAAACACATAACGGAATAGACCTATGGCAGGATTTTGAAAAACAGCAGAGCAGCAGCATCTCAAAAGATGTATACGAGTTATTGAATAATAAATTATGCCAATTGTCAAACACAGAATTACATTAATAGTCTTAGTTGAAATGCATTGATTGTGCTGTCATTTTCTATGTAGCTTGTGTATTTAAAGACCCTATCTATATATCTATATATATATATAGATATATAGATATATAGCTTACAAACTCAATCCTATGTTCTATATAATGTCAACGCCCCATCATGTCACAAAACCTTTCAAATTCCCATAATTATTACAGAGGACATGTTGTTTAGTATGTATACGGTTTAAAAACCGCGCTAGTCATATCTTTGGATTGAACATGGCTCCTGTGGTTGTTCCTGTAGTGCTGTTCACTAATTGAGTATCAGTGTGCTCGAGTAGTGTCGTACCTCACTCTCCAGAGTGTGTATCTCTCTGGGCAGCTCCACAGCGTGCCGGCTGAAGTAGTCCATGGTGATGGCGTTGTTCCAGTAGCTGAGGTTGTTCTCCTGACTCGAGGACTTCTTCTTCCTCCTCATGCAGCACACAGTCAAGAGCACAGCTAGGGCGGGCAGAAGAAAAGGAGAGGGAGGTCAGAGACTCAAAGCAGCCGCTTCAAATAGCCCCCTGGAAGCGCCCACTATCGCACAAGATGTTGCTCGAAAAGGCAACTGGTGGGTGTGCCGTGTAGTCATTTTGATCACTCCGGAAGACACTGTCAGGAATCTTAAAGGATAATTATTTATAATTAAAACAGACTACAGTGCAAGTGTTTTTCCTAAGGTGCAACTCTCCTCAAAAAGTTATCATGCTATTGCTCTCTCATCAGTACACAACAGGGTCGAGTCCTGAGTGTGTGTGGGGGCTTTCAACAAAATGAGCGAGAACCGTCTACTGAAACAAGGTGAAGAAAACAAGAGACTGAAAAGGAATAAATGCCACTGTGAAACTCTTCGGTGACCTCAACAAACCTTGTTGTAAATGATTTCCTGTAAGAGATACGGTTGAAAGAAAATAGTTCCTACATGTGATATTTATTTTTCTCATCTAACTCTCCACAAATAAAGCGAGCGAGTCAAATTCTTCAAACGTGGAACTATTCATTTTAACAAATATATGTTTTAATGGTACTAGAAGTAATACTCTTCAAGGTCAAGGTCACTTTTTCACTTTCCCTGTAACATGACTCACAGCACGTGGACACGGGCACGCTGATGGCCAGCACGATCCACACGATGTCCATCCTGCTCAGGCAGATGGTCGTGCGGGACAGCGGGGAGTCGAAGGTCGGGCCCGAGCTGTTGCCGGGCGCCCAGGGGTCCTCGGTGGTGGCCGGCACCTGCCTGTTCAGGAAATTCCCGCTGGCCGTGGAGGGGGGCTCCGAGGTGTTCCCCTGAGCTGGCGGCCCCTCGACGGAGCTGCCGTTCGGAAGCAGCCCCCCGTATGCGGTCGCATTGTCCGTGGCGTTGCCCCCGGCAACGGGACCTCGACCCTCCTCAGCGGCGGGTCCCGTTGGGTGCGGGGTGGTCGCTCGGGACGATTGTCGGACTCTGTGTCTTCGGTCGGGGCTCGGTGGACAGCGCTGCGGGGGCCGCGGTGGTCGTTAGATTCTTTAGCGGGTCGTCGGCAGTGAGCGTGACTGGCCCCCCCTGCGGCTCGGTTGCCAGCTCGCCGGTTGGGGGCTCGTTCCCCGAATGCACGTCCCTCTGGGTGATGGCGTGGGGCGCGGCGAGCTCCGAGGCGCCCCGAGGGTGCTCCCTGAGTTCCAGGGCCGCTGCGGGGTCAACATTCGTCCCCGGGGGGGAAAGGTGACGGCTGGGCCCGGTCGGTTCGTCCACGCGCAGCTTCTGAAGCTCCGCGCGGTCAAAATCCAGGCTGGAGACACGAGCCGAACCCTCTCTGGCAGTAGATGCCGGATCTATATTTGGGGCCGCTGTGCGGGGAGATTGGAGGACACCGCTGCCGGCCTGGTGAGCGCTCACAGTAGCTGGGTTATGGACTTGACTCAGACCGGCCCGATTCACAGTGTCGTGGAAGGCCGGGAGCGCGACGTTCGAGGGTTGAGGGCCTCCTTTGGATGACCCTTCCCCGCTGCTGGAGCCTTCCTGAGGTTCAGGGGCGGAAAGGTGGCTGCTGTGGGCGGTTGCCATGGAGACGGAGTCCTGGGATGCCTGGTTGAGGAACAGCCCCTGTGCCGATGACACCAGTCCTACTGGCAGCGCCAAGACGGCTAGAACACCTGTAGAGAAGGACAGAACGCCGGTGATTAGCACAGGATGAGGAAGAAGAAGAAGATCCTCTTTGCCCTGTGAATTATTGCATTTTCCTTTCCCTTTGGGTGTGTGTTTCAGCATGTCAGTATGTCTTTACATCATTTCCCTCAAGGAAAGGGAAGCTCAGGTGTTCAGCAGAGACGCGTGGTCTTCTCTCGCATTCATTATTCTCCTCTGGATTTTATCTACTGAACCGGCGGTGTGTGTTCTTTATTAACCACAGTACATTATTCATTATGTGAGTCGCACCGTGTGCACGTCCGGGACGTAAGGATCTTCTAGCTTTGATCTTCTGCGGAAATTCTTGAAGAGCTCAATTTGATCAAGATCAAAATATAACAAGCAATTATTTGATTAGAAAAAGAGTTAATTCTGTAGATTGTTTAGTAGTTTTGATCATTTTCAGACGTACATTGGGAAATTAATACTTGCCATATGCTCACTGCCAGACAAAGTGTATCCATATTTTCAAGGCATCAAAATAGCCCACTTAACTTGCTAAAACCATCTCAGAGAACTTGACAGATTCACGTTCTCCAGTCGAGACAAGCCATTAGCAGGTGCCCTGTGGGGAATATTGGTCCTATTATGTTTTCCAGACAGCAGGAAAGTAATAGAGGGAGGAACATGCGAAGGTTGATTAATTTGCTTTGCTTCCGTCCTTTCCATCTCTTATTGACACTGTTAACATTGACTCAAATGTAACATCAGTGTTCCCAGCGGGCGGGTTTCTGTGCATCCCGCTGGGAACAGAACATGCAGTAACGTTGTCTAAATTACTGTCTGAACGCATGGTGTAAGACTATTGCTTTATTGTTTTAAGGATAACGCTGGCAATGTTTTATTCTTAAAACATTCTTCTCTGCAGTAGACAGTTTTAGAGAGAATTAAGGATAATGATTGAGAGTGAATTTTTTTGTGACACTCGGTAGAGAGCAAGAAGTCACAGAAAACACGCAAGTTTAAAAGGTATCTTTGTGACCCAGATGTCTTGGTCAACATTTATAATGGTGGTCAGTAACTATGGAAACCGAGTTTCCACTACCAAGAGGGGCAGAGGAGAAGGAGTAAAGAAAAAAAGGTGAGAAATTCGTTTGAAAATTTAGAAATGGACAGAATATTTATATTTTATCGAATGATGAAAACAACAACATCAACCAAGGCGAATGTCAATATATGTAATAAAGGATTCCAAATACAACACGGCAGCAGAGCCCGAAGCACTGACTATTTAAACTGAGCCTCTGAATCATTAATCATATTCCTCCAGGCTCAATCACACAGACCACCAGGACAGAGGGTCCAGGCCCCGTCTTCCATTAACCAAGCCTGTCACGTCTCTAATCCCACTGCAGACCCACATCTGAGGAGATTAAACACACAGGCATCCCTGATTTATGACTCCTTGTCTCTCCTAAAATGATCCTCTAGGCAGGCAAATGGCAGACAAACCCAAGCCATCAAAGCTGAAGTATCTGTGCTATTGTTGATTTAAATGTGAGGACACATTTACATGACGAGGCCCTTTGAGATGCTCACAAAATCAAAATAATAAATAAAAGCCATTATTACGACCACATTGCAGGATACAGTGTATTAGACAGGTAGAGTTATGATTATGTTAAACAATGCAAAAAAATAGCCACGGAAGATTAAAGAGGCCGATTAAAAGCGAGCATGTTGACAAAGCCGAGGCACCGGGTTGAGTCATACCTTCAATAAAGTACCCGAACCTGGTTGTCACAACTTGGCAACCCAGCACTGTGCTTCTACTGAATAAAACATAACATCGAGGCTCCCTTTACAACCAAAGTCCTATTACAAATGAACAAACTTAATGCTCCAGCACACAAACAGCAACACATTCATCCTTTTGGGACATTGTTTTATTAAACATCATATCCAGAAAGTTAAAAAGGAGAATCTGCTTTGAAAGTCTGACCATGTAGTCATCAGCGCTGACAACAGATTCTGCATCAGATGCTGTTAATCTCGTATTATTTCATTATTGAGCAGATTCACAACAAAACCTATTAAATGGACGTGGAGTTGCAGAGTCTAATAACAACAACACACAACAACACACGTGCCAAAAGCAAAGGTCAGCTAACAGTACCTGCCTCACAGCAGCCCGGAGGACACGGTTACATTTTAAATTAAACCATCCATATAAGTCATTACTACATCGTGGCAATGTGTTTCAACCTTCATCGTTTGCAAACTAGAAATCCATCTTTTTTTGACCCGAACAATATGTCACATTGGCAAATGACTGCCTGCGCAGGGTTACATAAGCACCCGGGTGTTTTCCTACACGTGCACCGCTTTACACACTGAGGCAAATCGGTGTAATTTGTCACAACGGCCGAGTGTCTGGCTGACGGAGTGAGAGCGTAAGCAGGGCCAACGCAGACAAAGAGCCCGACCCGTCCTCCAAAAGGACCTGCGAGGAGGCACCGGGGGTGAATTAACTAGAGAAATGATCGAAAAAGGGCCCGAGAAGTGAATCGCGCTGCATGGACATCCGTTATTGAGCTGAGGAAACGAGACAAATATACCAAAACTGGATGGAGACGGGGAAGAAGAGCAGCGTCGGGCAGGGTGGGAATATGTGAAGCGCGGAGGTGCGGCGGGGAAAGAAGTGAGGGTGTTTTATCAGTGATAAGCTGCAGACGCAAACAAAAGGAAAAAGGATCTATAAAACACAGCAGATCAGCTGGAAAATAAGGTGTGTGAGATTGAAGCATAACAGGGGTCATATATTTTTTTTTGCTTGCTCTTGCTCAAAAATTCTCATCTTCCCAGCGTAATTGTTTTTTTTTACCATTTTGCAAGTTGGCTGTTTTTGGCCTGGTATGATATTTTCTCAGAACCACAAGAAGAAAATGAAAACACAAAAAGGAGTCACTTCGAACAACAAGAGACCTCTGAATCTTTACCCGAGAAACAAAATAAATTATATATATATATATATATATATATATATATATATATATATATGTATATATTAACAAAATAAACAACAAGTTGGTGTGTTAAATTTGCAATGGCGACATTGAATTAGAGGCTTTTATCCTTGTCTGCACTCACCCCGTTATCACGCCCACCAACCTGTTGCCCTCACTATCTGTGCCCCTCAGGAACAGCACATGTTAATATGATAAAGACAAACAACGCCCAGGTGAAATCACAAAGAGATTATGCTCCATTTGTGTGACTAATGCCGCCTGTCTTGTATCTCGCTCCATGTATGGAGGGAGGGGCAATTTATGCAGGAAAACCCTGCTGAATTAGGGCCCCTTTGAGTCCACAGGAACCTGGTTACATCTGTTTCAGTCCTCCGTTGACGCCACCAGGGACATCAATCAATCACGTTGCAAAGCAGGACCCTGCGCACTGATCCAATGGCGGCTTTGTCCCACCAGTCATTCGCTGTTAGACTCAACGTCACTGGAAGTAAGAGAACAACGCAACATTTACTCACACTGATTAAGTTTTGCGCGGACCTTGTGCCATGGACGAACCATATTGTTCAGGCACACTAATCAATCCTGCAGGAGCACTTACTGTGTGGTATGCAGGCTATCAGTGCTTATGCACTACTCTGGTGGCATCATCAATCCTGAGGAGGAGGAGGAGGAGGAGGAGAGGGAGGGGGAGGGACTACTCGCTGTGGAAGGTGGGATATTTATTGATCTTTACGGGGGTCACCTCGTGTTTCACGCAATGGAGGATGATGTGGCTTGAATGTGCAAACAGAAACAATACGCCGATGAGGCGAGCGTTGGCGCCCGGCCGGTTGGTTCACCTCATCGGCGGGCGGCGGGCGGCTGCCACTCTTCAAATTGAAGGTTCTACGTGAAGCCAGAAATAGCCGCTGTAAAAAAACATCCATCGATAAGACGCGTGACGGTCGGTCCGGCGGTACGTCTGAACTCTTACTGCTCCGTCATTTCCCTGCTAAGGCAGCACGTATGTGTGTGTTCAATGTGTGCGTGTTCCAGCTGTATGTGTGTGTTTGGGGGACCAATTCTCACAGTCAGTGAGTGAGAAAATTACTACGGTCACTGATGAAATTGTGTGTATTTTAGCACCTTTATCTTCAAAGATCTATTAATTAATCTGAACTAACGGTCACTCATAATTTCTGCAAATTGTATTTCTGAGCATTAAGGGCCACGTGTGACAACAATCAGGATCAAAATCACAGAGAATAGATACTGAATCTGTTTTATGAACTACCCCCAGGTTACTTCAACTTCGCAAAGAGTAACCAAAGATCCTTATGAAAATGAAAAGTTATCTGACAATTTAGGAACCTTTATTCCTAAAATGTAATAAACCTGCACAGTGTTATTTAGGATTTCCCGGATCTATGAAACTGATATTGTTTGAATTATTAATATAAACAGTATGTGTCTATCAACAACTTTGTTATTGTGCCCTGCGGGAAAAACCCTCCGCCTACACTTTCTTGGTAAGTTGCTTTGAATTAATTAAATGTACAAGAACTAGAGGGACTCACTGCTTTTCATCTTCATTACTCAATAGGATAGCATGCATTACTGTTGGTTCGAAAGCCCCAGGGCATTGAACCGTAACCAATAACTAAGGATGTCTTCCTCTCCGCACAGCCGGCCCTCCACGGATCACATTTAGCCTCATTTATGCTAACGGTAACCAGCGGACAAACCACGATGGGATTCCCTGCAACTCCCCTCGGGGCAAACGGAGAGGCTTCATCTCCGGTGCTCATCAGAATACCAACCAGCCTTCATCACATAGTGGCCGCGTGCACACGCGCACACACACACACGCACACACCACGGCGCAGAGTTTAATTTCTCACCTTCCAAGATGGAGGCCATCGACGCAATCGTAAAGTGCAGATGGAGGGTTCGGTGGGAGGTAGTGCACACCTTTACACCTTTCACTTTAGGTTTTTCGACGTGCCACATGGGGCGGATCGGGTCCATCCGCTGCAGACCGACCTGTCTGACTAACTGCTGGTAAGATTGCATTATCACGCCTGGACAGAGCGCCGAGGGCTCTCACTCACTCCGATACAGTACTACGGTATTAATATCACTTCCTTCGCCACGACACGACGACAAGTCCATTTAAATAGAGCAGGCGTGTGTGTATATATTTACACAGTGTGTGTATGGACATATTTAAGGTACTACAAACAGACAAATTCCTTTGGTTTGCATCTGGGTGTGTTCGTCTGTCATTCTGCCCGTCGGGAGGGGGAGGGGGGGGGGCAGATAGGGCACATCCTGTGGACCTCTGGAACCGTCCCGGCTGGAGGACTGGATGGGCGGAGTGGGTGAAGCGGCGGAGCGGGGTGGGGAGGGGGGGGGTGGCGCTGCAGATGTGAGGTCCGAGATAAGGGAGGAAAAGCTTTGGCAGCAGGATAATGGCTTCCTGTTGGAACGCTCCGCAAATTGTGTGTCGGGGTCACGGCGGCTTTGAACAGAGACACGTTTATCGGAGGATCAGTAGGAGGGGTAGCGCCCAAAAAAGCAGAACACAACAAAGTGTCCTTTGCGCTGTTTAATCGGGATGATTGCGCCACAGCGACTGACATCGCCAACAGGAAGGAGAGACGCTAAACAGGAAGTTGTCTGGAATCTGAGAAGAACACTTAAATGGCGGGCTTGAGGTCATACTGTTCCATTAAAGTCACTGCAAATGTGTCCCCCTTTACAGAGAAGATGTAAACCTTTTTACCTTTTGTTGTATCCCTCAGAGGGCAGAAGACTCACAAACCAAAACACAACACTCCGCTGCTTTGTCACCAGTCATGAGGCTTCATCCGTCTCTCTTCTATCTGCAGCGGCTCTTCTCTTGCAGCCTGAAGATGTTAAGGCACCTCCTGCAGATGGCTGATACAGACGGGTAAATGTCTCTGTATAGCACAGAGGCAGAGATCTCAGCTCTGCACAGTGTAAAAGAGGAGGCCGTGATGGAAGTGCATTGTGCCTGAGGAATGTCGGGCCTCTGCCGGAACTGAACGAAAATGTAATAGAGAGCACCGTGCTGTCAGAGAAAGACACACATACCGTCTTAATATAAACTCTGTTCAAAGCCGGGCCGCGTCAGACTCCACATCGAAAGCCGCCGCGACGTGACCTCGCTCCCCTTCTGTTTACAGCTTAGAGCACTTGGCGCACAGCGGTCCAGTCCGAGTTGATCGTTTCCGAGGGATTAAGGCGGATTTGTCCGACGGCCTGAGGTTGAGCTCGGGGGTGCGTACCAGATATCATCATCGGCCTGTTTAGCGTGATGTCCTGCAGCCTGGTGGGTCCCAGTCTGACCCGCCGCGCTCCATATTCATGTGACATTCTGTGCTGGTAGCCTGCCAGAGACGTGTGCAGAGACCTGATCCCGTACGCTGAATTTAAAGCAGCCCGGACGAGAAGAACTAAGGAGATACAACACTGAATACACGGTTCAGAGTCCCACAGGTTCCCTCAAGGCATCACGTCTCTAGCAATGGAGGCATGCGTTGTCTTAAATGCAAACAACCCACCATCAGAATGCAGCGAGACTTGTGGTCATAAGAGGAATCACCCTGGATATCACCCCCCCCCCCCCGACCGCTCCATCCCCTGGGGTTTACTCACTGAGCAGCTGGCAGCGCAGGACCTGCAGGCTTGTCTTCATGGTATCATGTGATCCGGTTCCTCCTCCACAGTGCTCATGGTTCTCTAGTGAAGACAGAGAGAGAGAAAAGGGAGCAGACAAGGAGGTAAGAAGACACTCAGGCGCTCAGGTAGCAAAATCACATTTCGAGCGATGGTCGGATATCAGCGCGGTGACACGCCGATTGTGTCTGCGCAGGTTTAAGTAGCCACGAAGAAATAAGGAGGGATTGCAGATAAGATGTGGTTTAATCCCTGTAATGACGAATGAATCACACCTAACCCAAATGTCCCGATAGAAACCCCCCACCCTCCCTTTCGAATCAGGACCGGCCTCCTGCAGGCTGCGCTGGTGAGTAAAACCGCTCATGGAGCATTAACGATCGACTGCGTGTGTGTCAGCCAGGCGAGCACCCACGGGTGCTCTTTAGGAGAATGACTCACCGATGGCCTTCTCTTCACTAAAAGAAAACACACACACATTTCCTTTCACCCCCCAGAGGAGTGTGTGCGCGTGTGTGTTTGCCTTTCTTTGTGGAAGTGGTCTTGGGCGATGCACGTGCTCCCGCCTCTCACCTGCACTAACGTACTTCTTAAGAAGTGTGCACACCCTTCACCCCCGCCTCTACCAATAATCTGATGGGAGTGTGACATGGGAAATGGGATTTGCGCCCCCCCCCCAAGACGAGGGGTCATGTGAGATGAGAGGGGATATTCAACAAAAGCGGAAAGTAGGAAGCTGATCCTTTCACAAGGCCTTATTTTTCTCATAAATGGAGTCCCTCTGTGCAGTGGAGGCAACGCTCTGCATCTCGCCGTCGCCCTGCCGACATTACGCCAACCTAATGTCCAACTAGCAGATATTTTCATTGGTTTCGTTGCCGTCTGCCCACGGGGGAGAAAGGAAAAGCGTGAAATATTGGGCACAGTATTGTAACAAATGACATTGGGAGAAAAAAACAAAACGTCTCTATACCTCCACCTGGCTTCATTCTACTGGTACAAAAGATAAATGAAGAAGAAAATCAATGAATACATCAGTTAAATTAACTAAATGGGTCATCAGGAAACAAAGGTCATTTGACTAACGCACACAGTTTTGTGCGTTGGTGTTTAAAATGAAAACAAAGAACCACTCACGGCTTTGACCACAGCGGCGTGGGTTTGGACGCGACACGCTGCTGGTAATTGGAAAAGAGTCGAGGCTGCAAGAACAGAGCAGAAAATGAGTTTCTGAAGAAATTACCCCCCAGCTGCAACCGCCCCGATACCCCATCACCGTGTCCACTCATGGCAACGCCACAACGTGGCAGCTCCACTCCTTCCCCGTGCTTCAATGTTTTGAGCATCATGTTCCTGGCGTGATGAGCTCAATGGCGTGGTGCGATGAGAGCAGCTGAGCCTCTCCACGGTGATTACATCTCATCAGCGCTGCCGGGCCGGCTCAGCCTCACAGACACGCGCTTTAATTCGCGGGGCACGGGGGGTGAGGCCGGGGCGGCGGCGGCGGGTGGGGGCGGAACAGGGCAGAAAGGCGAGCAAAACTGTTACCCTCGCTCTGCGGATATATACGTGTAAACTTCAGGGAACGGTTGATTTTGTGCTCGGAAATGTGACCTTTCTGAAATTGGCGAAACCTTTTTTTTTTTTTTTACAACACCGGCGTCAACATTAATAGATCAGATTAACACCACACGGACACGTGCTGACGTCTTGAGCTTAGAGTACAGAGCAGCTTCCTACTGGAGAGGGGAAAAAAAGTTGCATGGCAACTGACGGTGGCCATCGCCATGGCAACTCTAGTACATTATATTCAAATTCACCCGCAAGGGCATTTCGGGGGCCCAAACTGAATTACAGAAAGGATCCGATGCTGGCGCTGTGTTTCCTGTCCTGTGTGTCTGGAGGGGGGGCGGGGGTCGGGGGCCCACAGACCGGAGGCCAAGGCCGAGGTCACTTGGGACGTCACAATGAAATAAGCCTGTCACTCACAACTCTCCGCGGCCACCGGCCGCAGGGATAACAATGCTTTTAATTCTGGACTTCCCTCGATTCTGCGGTTATGTATAGAAGCCGTGGCAGCGGGCTGGCTGCTGGCCCAGAGCGGCTGCAGCCGGAGAGCTTTTCCATAACGAGAGGAGGAGGTGGAGGAGGAGGAGGGACGGGAAGTGTGGGAGGCGACGGCGTGACTGTTGTGCTCTCGCAGTCCACCGACAACTGGGCCTCCGATCCGCGACCGCGCCGAGTGATGCTTTCGTTCGTCTCCGGCTCATGAAGTTTGTGTGAGGAAAAACATCCCCCGGCGCTGCTGCTGAGACACTCGCACAGCGTGCGCCTTTTTCCTTCGATGGAAATCAAGCCCCGATCCCTGGGTTTCTCGCCACGTTCCAAGCGTCGGCGGTAGTGGCCGTGATTGAGCCGTTACTCGTGGGAACCGTTGGCGCCACCTCGACGACCTCGCGAATCAACGCGCTTCCTTGGCAACAATCCGTCGGGACTCGGGCTTATTGTGCAACAAGAAAGCTGATTACTGATTACGGCTGTGAGCGATTCTGTTACGAGTGCGTTTTCCGTCAGTGGGCGGGTTGAACAGCGGAGCCGGTGGCTCAAGAGAGACTCTGGGGCTTTGATAACTTAATTGTCCGGCAAGATACACACAACAAATGAATGATTACGCCCATTGATTCCATCCAGCAACACGGCTAAATTAAATGCGGGCAGCAAGCGCAACAAAGCAGCAATGGGTTTCCAGCGAAGCTCTCTGATCCCTGAAAGCGGCGGCCATATTGCTGAGTCACAGCGGGGAGCCGCCTGTCAGTCGTGTCCCTGGATTGGAAATCTGGCAGGATGAGTCGCGTGCGTGTGTGTGCGTGTGCTGCGTCACGATGGCTGCTGGAGGACGTGGAGGTTATCAATCAGCGTCATCATTCCCCTCCAGGCTCCACAGCAACACACCAGCCAATTAAGGGACATTAAGCTCCCAGCAGACGTTCACGGTGAAGGAGCGCCGGAGGAGAGCTCGGCTGAGGCCGCTTCAGGCCGCCTGCATGGTCCACGGGGGGTTGTGGTAACTATTTCCACGAAACCTCTGCTCATCCCATGTTTTTAGAAAGCAGAGGTCGGGCAACCAACAATATGCACATACAGAAATGCAGAAATCTCCATCTATGAACCGGTTAGCCTCAACTAGACAAACGCCTCCGGGTTTGTGTTCTTATGTCTCGACGCCGGCATCATGCTCACGCGGACAGGTCTAATGTGCTCAGTGAGCAAGCTGTCGGCTCACATCCACGTCCCGGCTACAGTCCGCGAGTTAACATATTTCATACGTCAGTGCTGAGAAGGAAAGACGGCGTAGGAGTAAAGATGATTCGCTTGTCGATAATGTTAAAAGAGAACTGGAGTGCTATCACAGATATTAGCTGGATAGTTTTTCTGGTTGTGTTTCTTCTGAATCTTATACGTGAATCATCGTTATCGTGGAAGATTATATCTTTCAAATTCCATAAAGAATCCCTCCCCAAAAACAGGCCGTCACTTTCAGTCTTGCGTCACATCAAAAGAGAGGAAACTGCGTCTGTGGCTCTCGCAGGATTAATTATTCTCTAACTTGTTCCGAGGACATCTCAGGAAGAGCAGAGCTCCTGAGCTCGAGGGTGGAGGAGGAGGAGGAGGAGGAGGAGGAGAGGAGCATCACCGGCCTCTTCATTACTCAGCGTTTACACAGACACGACCACGACCAATTACTAAAGCCATTCATCAGAAGAATCATGGCCAAAAGCCGTATCTGTGGCCGTGTGAGCACATGCGAGACACCGATAAATAAGAGAGATAAATGGTCGCCGGCTAGATCTGCTTCCTCCAGCTGCAGCAGAGTCCTTTTTGCAGAGAGAGCTTTTACAGCGTGAGCTTCCGCTGCGCGTCACTGCAGTCTCACATGGCTTTAAGTCAAGTAATAGCAAAAGACGTATTCAGATCTTACCAATTTATAAATGTAAGGCTCAAGAAAATGACAGTGTTTACCTGAGGAGGAACTGCAGGACGGGTGCTACTCTCCCAGGAGTACAGTCCAAGTGAGGTGCCAGGATTTGTTGACCTCAGTCTCAGGACTGATTTGACTCTCAAATCAAGTCAAATCTTTCAAGAGAGTCGGGTCGACCGTCCCTTTTATGTTTACTGTCACTGTATCACGCATTTATTAAAACCAAGGGAAGGCCAGACTGTCTGACAGATAAGGGGATCGAATCAGTGGAACAAAGAGTGGGGCCGGTAACAGAGCCCCGGGGGAGGGACCCCGCGACACACTTTGTTATGCAACCCTGGAAAGACGACACCGGCGACTGAACATCAAGCACCCGACTGAAGCAGCGCTGTCAAGTGAGCGCGTTGGATTGCCGTTGGCCAACAGCAACGCGGTGAAAACTTTAAAATCGGCACCTGGAGAACCGCATTACCTGCAGGTTCCCCCCCCCCCGAGTAAGCGTGTTCCTGCTCTAACGAGAGGGCCTTTGAGGGCGGGCAGTGAAGGCCTCGCTCTGTCTGAGTCGTAAATATCCTCCTATCCGTCTCCCTCTTTCTTCACTCCGTCCTGGTGTGACCACCCCCCCCCCCCGACCCGGCTGAGCGCGTGACTGACTGCTACCGACGACCAGCTGCCCGGGGATGAAGAGTAAGGCGAGACGCCGGCGCGTCGCGTCCCCGCTACGCACCGCCGCAAACTGTAACACAATCAAAAAGGAGCGGCACGGCAGAAAAGGTGAGAGGGGCCTCGGGTGACGGTTCACCGCACGGGTTTTTTTTTCTTCCCCGGCGCGTCGGTGTAAACACGTGGAAACGCGGGCGTTGACGCGTCCAGCTGTGCAAGGGTCTGTGCAACAACACGTCCCTGTTGGGAATAATGAATATGTAAGGATTTCAATCCGCCTTGGATATAAATATTTGATCTGGGCCGACATTGTCAGACTGTTCAAGCTGACATGAAGATTTCTTCTTTTTTTCATTTCTTTCCAAACGTGCCGTTTTTAAAAACTGATATTTAATCCTCCTGCTTTTCCTTTTTGAATGTG